CAGTGATGAAGATCAATAAAGGAATAGTAAAATAGCCCATTGATATCGGCACAACGTGAACTTTAGCTTCAAGATCTTTCATGGCCATACAAGATGCTGGAGGAGTAACAGGAACTTGCAGTTTGATGAACAAATCTTCTAAAAGTTTACTTGAAATGAGACCAAACTCGGAAGCTGAATACAGTCCATTGACAATAATCTCATTTCGACCTTCCAAATTCAATTTATTGATTAAAAATCCATATTTTACATGAATAATTGGTTTTTCAGAAACACGCAAGAACGCGTTATTTTCTGTGTCAGAAACCCTTACTTGGCATACATATCCTTTCATCGCTTGGCAAGCTTTCAGGGTTGAAAGAAATACGTATCCGTAATTCAAAAGTTCAGCGAGTTCGAGTAATGAGGAATTTTTGAGCACTTTCTTTGTTGCTGCGTTCCACAATTTTCGAGCCAATTTATCTTCTGATTTTCGCCAACTCATCGAACATGGATTAACTTGGGATGTAAATACAGGAAAGTTGTGCCTAATGACATCAGCAAACGAATCCAGTTGTACATATTCAGAGCGTTGGACTAATCCGGTTCTCAGTGAGGCGGACATTATTTTAGTAACTAAAAGTTGACCGGCAAGGAAAACCAGAAAGAAACCTTTTCTTTGAATTGAACTGCTCACGATGAAATTTTGACCCAAAAGGTAACCAAATTGAGGCCAAAAAGTGTCAATATAAAGGTAATTTTCTTGCAATTTCAAAACGATTCCATTTAATGCAAGAATAAAAAAGGATAAAAGCATCAAATAAAACCAGAATGATGTTTGAAAAGTGTAAATAAAGTCGAAGAAGCCTGGCTTTAGGAAATTAACTTGAACGTTTTGCACATTAGCTAAAAAGCAGGGTTCTTCCTTCATGAGCGACACCAAAGATAAATTCATGCCAATGTTTTCCATTTCATCCAATGTAACATATCTACCAATAGCAAAATCAATTTCACCCTTTTGTAAGTTTGCCAGCCATCCATTGCAAACACCATCGTTACAATTCATTTTTTCTGAACCAGGAACACGAACAAATGTTACATTCCATTTATCCAAAATGAAATAAAACAGTTGCTGGAAATAACGGGCTAAAATACCACCAGCTGAACCATCTTCCTTCAGATAGTACCATGGCGGATAATCAATTAATCCCAATCGAAAGTTATTCATTTTTTTGCCAACCTAAACGTTTACCAGAAGAAGTAACAAATTTTTATCAATCCACATTAGAAGACTTGAAAACTCAAATGCTTTAGAGTTTATTGGTGAAAGTTTTCACGAAATTTTGTCCATCCAAAGAGATAATTATAATAATTTATCAATTTGATTGGTTTAAATGATTTTGTTTCATCATTAGACATCATTTGAAGTCCAACATGCAAACTATCTCATCACTGATATGAATTTGAAATTTAGACACAAGATGACATGATATTTGATAAAAATGGGAAATAATGAAGACATCTTCAACTCTATTCCTGTCATGTATCTTGCAAAATATCATAATTGTTTTTAACTTTATTTAAAACTCTTTTTGCAGTAAGAATATTCGATTCGGATTCAGACTACATGGTATTTTCAGATTAGCATCGACCCGCATGTGAATGAAATATTAATAACATAAGCAATTAATGTTGCTTAACCTATTATATTTTCATTATGATAACATGAGGATCCTCCGAGCATGCTGATTTTCCTTATGAGGATACAATCGATCCACATTTGAAATACTCAAATTCTTGATGAAAAACAGTGTCTACTAACAAGACACAATTAATGCAATTGTAACATTTATCCACAAATCGACACGAATGGGCAAAGCGTCAAATTTCTTCCAAATTTAGACTTCGTCGGTTTGTAAGGACATATAAGCTGACAATTGTGAGTCCATTTGTGCGATGTGAAAATTTCCCTGATGAAAAGTTTTCGAGAAAACTGAGGTCAAAGCTGCAACTTGGATTCACTTTTTGTTCAATTATGGAAGCAAATTTTTTCATGAAACTCATTTTACTGATGTAACTTTTGTTGTTCAACCAGAAAATGTGCTTATTTTTAGAAAAACTAATTTTCTTCTTTTGTAAATCAGATAAGTTCAATCTTCAGTTATATCAACTGTTTTCTATGACCGTAAGAGTTAATGAGAAGAAACTTATAAGATATTAGATTTTATTGTGTGCTATGTAATATCATAATACATATGTATTTAATTATTCATGTTCTAACAAATTCACCGAGTTCAATAGGAAATCTCCAATAAGGATCCAAATGAAAACCCAAAGTGACAGTCATATTATGATTATATAATGATGTATATAGTATTCAGTCTTTATATTTTTGTATTTTGGGTTGATGCAAAACTTTCATCTTAATAATACCAGGAATTTATCGATGAATTAGACTCATCGAAATTTAGTGCGAACAGCAAAAGTGTAGATCAGGCAGCTCGTCGTCGCAGATCTTCTCGGATGATCATCAGCATCTTTCTATTGATCTCAGGCCAAGAGATACTCTTTCCCCAACAAACCCCCCCTAAATATGAATCTTCGTGCACCATAGGACGGTTGCCAGTGAGTAATAGTTCGTATGCAAGATCCTTGTTTTGATTGAACTTCAACCAATTAGCCTTGAAAGCGACATCGACTTTACATCGGTCCCATTCATTTACGTGCTTTTCGTAGTCTTCATCTGGTACCCAACCATCCGTTACAGGTTGATCAGAACGCCTCACTTTATCGGCCAATTCAGGTGCGCACATCATCCTGGCTCTCTCACTTTGATAATAGTGTTGAGCAGAGTTGTAGGTAAGTACACGATGCTTATTACCCTCCATTACAATCGTTGTTATTTGGTTTGGAGAACGGCATCCATAGGCAAAAGGACCTCTATTCGCTTGGACTGATGGAGCATTAGTATTGATGTCCAACTCGCCATACAAGTGATTCAACAAATCTTCAGTGAAAAAAAGCGATGAAATATCAAGACCGGCCATTCTCAATGAAACTGTTATATAAATATCAAGTTGCTTTTTAAGAGTTTATTATTCAGTCAAGTTCACAATGCAGAAAGGGTTCACAAATTAATAAGATTACAAAAATATTTGATTGTTGTCAAGAGTCCAACAATCAAAATGAGAATGATCTTTAGGTCTCTCGTGATCTATTTTTATAGCAGCTCCATAAGGGATTTCCTGACTCCTTCACAGTATTTAACCAACTATAACAACTGGTTAACAGTAGTTAAGAAATGATGGGAGGTTTCAATAGTTAATTGTCTTAAAGGACAACTCTTTAACGTCTAGTCAAGTTAAAGAAACCAGTTTTTCCCAAGCTGTTCAACTTATTGTTTCAGATTTCTTATTCAACAACCATTAAGTACAGTAACTCGAATTTAATTTCTCTCATTTTCATAGTCTATTTACGGCCATAACTAGTTAGTAGTGGTTAAAAAAATAGGGACGTTTTATTAATAGAATGGTTATGACAGTGTTGAGTGACGCACTGACAGGTTACCTTTAGTGGCTACTATTATAATATTAATATTATAATAAGTATAATAGTTAGCGCTGGTTAAGAATTGAAAGGAGTTTTCATGATTTAAGGGATGATCATGATGCTCCACTTAAGAAACCCTTACTTTCTGGTAAACCTGTACAAAAGACATGTAAAGAATTCAACTTTACTTGGTGAGAGTTCTGAGCTCTGGTAAAATCGATAAGGGTGGGGATTAATTTAGAAAAGGATTCACAAAGATGTTATATTTTTTGGGTGTGTTACACCTGGTCCGTGAAAATAAAAGAGTGTATGATCCTGTCAAGTTCACAATACAGGAAATAAGATTCAATAGCTGTACAAAAAAAACGATCCAAGTTTCAACTTTCTCGATTTTCTCGAAAACTATCGATCTTTAAATCGCACAAATATACTCAGTTTTTATGTCCCTACAAATCAACAGAGTCTAAATCTGAAAGAAATTAATTCTGGCCCGTTTTTATCCATTTGTGTTAGGTGCATAAATGTTGCATAAGTGTTTATTGTGTTTTGTTAATTAAAACCTGAAAAAAAATGTCAGAACAAGAAAATCAGAAAATAAAATTTTTGGCTTCTGTTGCATTGATAAAATTTCGGAATGAAAAAAGCCTTTCTTAAGAACGCATATATCTTTTGTTTTAGCTTAGAGTTGATGACTGTTGGTTATAAAAGCCTGAAAATTTAGTCTATTAGTGAAATTAAAATATCCATCTGATCGGTAGTCTTTGATAGAATCGAGTTCAAGTTAAGACTGAGGTCATTTTTAGCAAATGTGCGTTTCCATACTTCATCTCATACCAATCTCTTCAACCTTTACTTCAGAGACAAATTTTAAATATACTAATAATCACACAATAAACCATCAACCTGAATAAGAGTTTTTACTCCAAACTGAATAGTTTAAAGTACGGACTCTGCTTTTTTCGCATTGCCTCAATATACACGAATTTCTCAGTAACCTGAATTTCGAGAAAATGCTGCCTATTTTTCGTGGATGTAGTTTGATCATGACTTTCATGCTGAGTCCAAATTTTCTTTAGAATCCGCTCAGTCTGGTCACAATTTTAGCGCAAAAATTTTATGTATGGATGAATGGATGTACAATGTATAAGTTCAAAGATTGTTGTTGTTTTTATCGCATCCTGAGCTAAAAACTCGTTGATTCTGAATCAATCAAGGCAAATTGTAAGTGTTAGGTCCAAACTGTTAATTCATTAGATTTAGGTTCGTTTAATCCTCACACAAAAAAATAGCAAATCAAATCAATATCTTGCTGATCAACTCTTTCAAATTTATTATATTTCTGCTTTTATTGCTTTCACGATAATAAATTTAATTTATATTGGTTTGGAATGGCTTTAACAATTTGGATTAACTTATTGAAATTAAAAAGGTTACTTTTAGTTAGTGATTCTTATAGAGATGTAAAATAACAATTAATAATAATATATTTCTCTATTTAATCTTTTGTTTATGATTAATTAAATGTTAGATATTGTTTCAACGTCATATTTTTGCATAGAGAGTTTTCCTTGACAATAGATTATAATCAGAATATTCACGAGATAACAAGACAATTAACGGTATAGAAACAATAGAGTAATAGATTGAGAGAATTTGATTCATTAACAAGACACAATAATTGATGATTGGCAAAATATAAAATCTATCAAGGGCTAAATAGTTACTAAGGATTGACCAAATTAATTGACCAGGGAATATTGAGGACAAGCTTGATCCCATTCACAAGGGTTGACTCCATTGACTAATTTAGCTGATCGGTGACAGTAGAAACATGTTTCAAATGAAGTCTTTTTTTCACACAAATCAAGGCCAGCTTCTTTCCAGACTTTCAATAAATTAAAGACAAATTCTTCCATCATGGGCCGAGAATGGAATGGTGTTGGAGCAATTCGAAGTCTTTCAGTTCCTTTGGCCACGGTTGGATAATTGATTGATTGAACATAATGTCCATAACGAGTCATCAATTCATCACAAATCCAACTACAAACAACTGGATCTCCAACAGGAATGGGAATAATGTGACTTTTACTAGGCATTTGCGGTATCTGAGCTCTTTCCAACAAGTTTTTCATGTAAGATACATTTTCACGATGAAGCCGACGTAAATACCGACCTTCTTCACCACGAAGAATCTGTCAAAAAAAGAAGAAGAATTAGTATTAATATATTTTCAAAAAACAGCTTATGATCAGTTATTGATAGTGACTGGTTTTAATTTTGTCAGCTTCAAGGTAATCACCAATATTAAACTTATTTATATTTTTATAACCTATTTAATGATTTTGAAATTTCCCCAAATAACATTGAGTTGACCAATAAAACAAACTCACCCGCACAGAGGTTAATGCAGCTTTCAGGTTGATCGGAGGAAGTGAAGTAGTGAAGATAAATCCAGCGGCATAACTTCTTACCATGTCAATCAATTCATTTGAACCGACAATATAACCACCAATGTTGCCGAAGGCTTTACCTGAAATACAAGCAAAAAGAAGAGAAGAAAAAACAGAAATGTCAAATAATTATCGATACAATCCTTATAAAGAGAAAGAGTTTGGAAAAACGAATTAGTCTGAACTTTTCTGACACCCAAAACTGATTAATTATGCAACTTTAATTAGGTTTGGATGAAAAAAGTTCAATCCAGACCAAAAAAGTTTGTCTCATTAATCAATAAAATAAAACAGAATGAAATTAAATAAAATTGAGAGATTGATTTGACCCAAATGAGCTTTTCTGTCTGCTTAATGATAACAGTATGATAGCGTATGAAAGCTGTTTAATGATAGCTCAAGTTTGTTCACTTTCATGTACTTTCGTGAACTTTCCTTGTTTTTTTTCTCGATCAACTTTCATAAATTGATTAATTATATAACAAATTTCATCTGTCAACGTTTCCAATCGTTATTTTTGTATTCCTTGCAGCAAAAAAGCGAATTTGTTAAATTATGAAATAAGAGTCTCGATTAGAAAAATAAAAATGAATACAGAAAACTAAACCAGGCTGAAGTAGGATCAACAATCAACTGATTGGAGGACAATTGTACCGTTTATTTACTTACCAAGGGTACCTGATATAATATCAATTTTATCTAAAACTCCATCTCTTTCAGCAACACCAGCTCCTTGATCACCATATAATCCAACTGCATGTACTTCGTCAACAAAGGTAATCGCTCCATACTTGTGAGCAATGTCACACATATCGCCAACAGGGCTAATATCACCTGAAAGGAAATAAAATTATTGTAAATAATGTTGATATATAATTAATAATGATGATAATTACCAGACATTGAGTGAACCGTTTCAAAAGCAACTATTTTGGGTAAATTTTTGTCGACTGATTTGAGAAGACTTTCCAAATGGTCAATATCATTAGATCGAAAAACGTATTTAGTAGCTCCGCTATTCCGTATTCCTTGAATCATAGATGCATGGTTACCAGCGTCAGAAAATATTTGACAATCTAAGAAAATAAAGAATATGAATTAATGTTTATGAACAAATGATATCAGGTAGCCTGCGGTAGCTATGCAGTAGTTGATTCGTAAAGATAACGATAGTTTTTTCTGCTCTTTGATCATTCATCTTTATCTCTGATTGGTTTGATATTTCTCGGTTTACATTGGTGGTACTCGGTGATACTTTTCAATTCAACTACCGCATGATCTCGTTAATAACATGCAATAACAAACTAACTTGGTAAAGACTTTCCAAGAGTGAAAAGGGTAGAGTCATTGGCAACAAAACATGATGTAAACAATAAACCCGCTTCCTTTTGGTGTAAAGAAGCCATTTCTTTCTCCAACTCCTCATGTAAAGGTGTATTTCCAGAAATATTGCGCGTTCCTCCAGATCCTGATCCATATTTTTCAACAGCTTCTCTATTTAAATTCAATCACAACAAGCAAAAAAATAGTAAATCAGATTCACAAAAAAAGATAACCATCTTGATCGTATACTATTGGAAAGAATGCTTACACTACAGCTTGGCGAACTTGTGGATGACTTGTCATTCCGAGATAATCATTACTGCACCAAACAGTAATTGGTTTATTATTTGCGGATAATTCTTGAGCAAAAGGGGGTTTGTCGGCAAACCGAGCAACTTTTTTAAAAACACGATATGAGTGATCTTTTTTCTTCATCAATATCTTGTCCTGGAAAAACTTATGATAGTGAAACAGGTTATCTGTGATAGGGAAATTGAAATGCATTGAGAGTAAGTAAATTGTAATGTTAGCATGGTAAGAGGAAGAAATAAGGTAAAATTAAGAAATTGATAGATTAAGTTAATAAACGAACAATAGTTGATGATAGACGTTCAATGATGAAATAATTTCTGTTGAGGAAATTAAAAAACAGCAAACCCTTGTTTACATTATTACCATCATTTTTTTCCAATGGGTGAATTATATCCTGAGTGACCACAGGGTTAGCAAGTTTAACCATAGGATTGACTGTTTTCAAAAAAGGACATGTTGATGGATCACCTTCAGCCAGTCTTTTAGCATGTTTAATTCCTTCATTATCTGTAATGGTTATATGTAGGATTGAATGAAAATATAGGATATTAACGAAGGTTTTACAGCATAATATAAGTAAACGTTTATTTACCTTTTTTTGGGCCAGAGATTCCTTCATTGTTTGTTGAATAATATCTTGATACTTTGGACATAATTGGGCACAGAGGAGCATAGTTTTTCATCAATAATGATGAGTAGGAAGAAAGAAAAGAGGAAGATAATTGATTCAGAAAAGGACATTTCATGGTTTTCATGATCACAACAAATCTCCAGTTATTAAAGAGATTGAAGAAAAAATTATAGCTGATTTGAAAAATTCAGTTGAATGTGAATAACTGGGTAATTCAACTTTAGTCGAGAGCCAACAACGTAACACTGAGTTAGGATGTTTGTAAATAGGTGAGCTTTTCACCATTGCATATCCAAGTGAGCTGAAGTGAGTTGAAGTGGTTGAAGGAGAAAGATAGGATGAAGTGGTAAAGGCTGAAGAACAGAATTGCAATTTTGAAACGCAATTGTAAACGCATTTGAAATAAATTTGAAAAGTATTGTGTTTAAAAGAATTTATTGGGTACTGATAATAAAGAAATTAATGTTGGTATACATTGAAATATAATACAGATTCATCATCTGATAGGTTTTTGATAGCATAGCCGGTTAGCTCAGGGATAGTGACTGATTCAAATTCGTTCAAGACCATGTAGGGCTCATCAGCAATTCTAAAGGCTACCGATCCTTTCAGTAATGTATATATAGTTTTATAATTAGCTGTTTTCTGGTTTGGTTTTTCACAAACACCTTTCATTCTGAAAAAACCACTAGCGAGTCCATTAGTTTTGTCTCGGAAAAGTGACGCAAGTTCGATGCAATCACTGCCTTTACTTTTCTTCCATTGAAGATTTTCAAATGATTTTAACAAATCTGCATTTTTAATTCGAGTTGAAACACTTTTACCAATAAAAGATTCGGATAATTTACCGCGTTTTTCCTTTTTGGTCACCTGCCTCTCTTTTTTACCTTTCGTGAGTTTTCTTTCCTTTATATCAGGAGTCGTCGTGTGAGTTACTCCTGAAACTTCAAAACATCCATTTTCCAGAGGTTTATAAATAGGATGCTGTCCTCTCCATCGTGCAATTCTTACACCTTTCAAAAATCGTTTGGGTCGCTCATCACCACGAGGTAGTGGTTGAGGTGAGGGTGTTGGTGGTGGTGGTGATTGAGAGGGTGTTGGCGGTGGTGGTGATGGTGATTGAGAGGGTCTTGGTGGTGGTGGTGATGGTGATTGAGAGGGTGTTGGTGGTGGTGGTGGTGATTGAGAGGGTCTTGGTGGTGGTGGTGGTGATGTTGGCAACCTCTCTATAATTGTTTTCAAAATCACTGGTGAATGAACGGGTGGAGAAAAATTCGGCATGTCACGTCCAATTTCTGGGTCCTCCATGGAAGAAAAAATGCCCGAAGGCTCTCCAGCGTCTGACATGGTGATGTCTGGTATTTTTGGCAGCATGGCTAAGTGTCGGGCCCCAAGGCATTTCTGCATAACTGATTGCCAGTCACTTTCATCTTCATCATCATTAAAATTGATGAAAGTTGATTGAAAACTATACTTATTTAAAAACATTTTAAAAAAAAACAATGAAAAATGAAACACTTTGATGCTGCAAATTCAAATTCAAAGTAAACGACTTTTCAAAATAACATCTGATTCCCTCCATCACAAGGTCTGCCATCTGCAGGTGGTTTTTTGAAAGAGTGTTGTTTGCGCGGGGTCTTTCGGATTCAACAATTCAAGTATGGTCATTAACTCCTAATAAGCTGAAAACTATGAAATCAGCTCAAGAGCTGGAACTTATCGATAGGGAAGCTGATGATGTTTTAATTCGCATGATGAACGAAAAATCTGCAACTGATCTCAAAGTTCTACATGGTCATAGTGGTCCTGTATACTCTTTATCTTTTAGTCCAGATAGAAATCTTTTATTATCTTGTTCAGAAGATTCAACAAGTAAGTCTTTCTAATGTTATTGATTGGTATTTCTATTATTAACTTGACTTCGTTTTCTAATTTCAGTCAGACTATGGAGCCTTCAGACCTGGACCAATATATGTTGTTATACCATAGGATTGACTGTTTTCAAAAAAGGACATTTTGATGGATCACCTTCAGCCAGTCTTTTAGCATGTTTAATTCCTTCATTATCTGTAATGGTTATATGTAGGGTTGAATGGAAAATTAGTTACAGTTTAAGATGAGAGTTGATAACTAGGTTTTTACTAGGATATATACGAAGGTTTTATAGCATATTGTAATAAACGTTTATTTACCTTTTTTTGGGTCAGGGATTCCTTTATTGTTTGTTGAATAATATCTCGATACTTTGGACATAATCGAGCACAGAGGAGCATAGTTTTTCATCAATAATGATGAGTAGGAAGAAAGAAAAGAGGAAGATAATTGATTCAGAAAAGGACATTTCATGGTTTTCATGATCACAACAAATCTCCAGTTATTAGATTAAAACAAAAATTATAGCTGATTTGAAATATTCAAGTTGAATGTGAATAACTGGGTAATTCAACTTTAGTCAAGAAATTAATGTTGGTATACATTGAAATATAATACAGATTCATCATCTGATAGGTTTTTGATAGCATAGCCGGTTAGCTCAGGGATAGTGACTGATTCAAATTCGTTTAAGACCATGTAGGGCTCATCAGCAATTTTAAAGGCTACCGATCCTTTCAGTAATGTATATATAGTTTTATAATTAGCTGTTTTCTGTGATGGTTTTTCACAAACACCATTCATTCTGAAAAAACCACTAGCGAGTCCATTAGTTTTGTCTCGGAAAAGTGACGCAAGTTCGATTGAATCACTGCCTTTACTTTTCTTCCATTGAAGATTTTCAAATGATTTGATCAGATCTGCATTTTTAGATCGAGTTGAAACACTTTTACCCACAAAAGATTCGGATAAGTTACAGCGGTTTTCCTTTGTGGCTACCTTCATCTCTTTTTTAACTCTTGTGAGTTTTCTTTTCTTTACATCAGGAGTCTTCGCATGAGTTAGTCCTAAAACTTCAAAACAACCATTTTCCAGAGGTTTATAAATAGGATGCTGTCCTCTCCATCTTTCAACTCTTTTACCTTTCAAAAATCGTTTGGGTCGCACACCAGCATTAGATTTTGTAGAGAGATTTCGTCGAGGTGATGGCTCAGGCGAAGCTTGTGGTGAAGGTTGAGGCGAAGCTCGTGGTGATGGTTGAGGCGAGGCTCGTGGTGAGGGTTGAATCGAGTCTCTAAGTGACTTTCGAGACGAAAGTCGTGGTGATGGTTGAGGCGAGGCTGTGAATGAGGGTTGAATCGAGTCTCTAAGTGACTTTCGTCTCGAAAGTCGTGGTGATGTTTGAGGCGAGGCTGTGAATGAGGGTTGAATCGAGTCTCTAAGTGACTTTCGAGACGAAAGTTTTGGTGATGTTTGAGGCGAGGCTGTGAATGAGGGTTGAATCGAGTCTCTAAGTGACTTTCGAGACGAAAGTTTTGGTGTTGGTTGAGGCGAAGCTGTGAATGAGGGTTGAATCGAGTCTCTAAGTGACTTTCGAGACGAAAGTCGTGGTGATGGTTGAGGCGAGGCTGTGAATGAGGGTTGAATCGAGTCTCTAAGTGACTTTCGAGACGAAAGTCTTGGTGATGGTTGAGGTGAAACTTGTGGTGAACCCGTTGATGATTTCTGGGGTGAGCTCTCTGTGGAAGCTGGGGATGGCGAAGGGAAAGGTGATGGGTAGGGTGAAGGAAAGGGAGAAGAAACTGGAGAATTAGGTACCCTTTCGATTATTGTTTTTGGTAAAATTGGCGAGTTGGCGGGGTGACAAATGCTTCCCATATCACGTCCAATTTCTGGGTCCTCCATGGAAGAAAAAATGCCAGAAGGCTCTCCAGCGTCTGACATGGTGATGTCGGGAATTTGAGGCAACATAGCCAAGTGTCGGGCGCCAAGGCATTTCGCCATAACTGATTGCCAGTCACTTTCATCTTCCTCATCATTAAAATTAATCACAGTTGATTGGAAACTATACTTTTTCATAAACATTTTGACAATGAACACAATGTATAGCAAAACTTCTCAAGAACTCTTTACAACTGCAAATTCAAATTCAAAGTAAACGTTTTTTTTCAAAATAACGACAATTTCGCTCCATTTCGGTCTGCCATCTGGAGGTGGTTTTTAGAAAAAGTGTTTGTTTTGTTTGTCAGCTTTGTTTTTTTCTGAAGCTTCTTAAAGGCGATTAAGGGTTCGAATTGAATTAAATTTTATCATTGTGTGTTTTAAATCAGTGAAACTGCCAACTACAATGGCTGATTATGAAAAATCGGACAACAAATTTATCTCCTTCTCATCCAACAATTTGACATCCTACAAAAGTGAACATGAGCCTAGAGTATATGAAGAGGGCTATATGAATCTTTATAAATTCATCGATTCTTCATTGGATGCTTATAAATATGAACTGTATACATTAAATTATCCTGTTTTTGTTCATATGTACTTAGAACTTGTTTATAACAATCATGAAGATGCTGCCAAGAAATTTATGGAAAAGTTTGGTCCTCATCAAGAAGATTTCTACCAAGAGGATATAAAAAAGCTTGCCATCATTACAAAACCAAGTCAAATGAAAGAAAGTGAAATTATTGATAATTTCAATAATGGACAGTCAAGATTTACCATAAGATTGTCAAAAGATACTTTCTATTACCTCAAACGTTACCTTCAAGATTCTAGCAAATCTACGTCAATTATCCAGAATGTAATCCAGGAACATTTATCTCTCGATTTCTACGAAGGTTTAACTCGAAATAAGCAACAAGTCGAAGCATCGCTTGGTGGAATGATGGGTGAAGCTCCGAGAGATGCTAACAAAGTGAAGGTATATGTAGGTTTATTAAAAGAACCTGATATAAATTTATCGATATTGGATGATGATGGTGATGATGCTGCTGTTGATCCTTCTGGAGAAGGAGGAGAAAAGCCCAAGAAAAAAAAATCAAAGAGAGATACATTACTTTCTAAAAGAGCAAGGAATGATCCAAATGCTCCACCAATCACAAGAATTCCTCTACCTGAACTACGAGATGCTGAAAAAATGGATAAAATTCATAGAATGAGAGAAGCTTCAAAGAGATTGAAATTGAGCAGTGAAACCCTTCCATCTATTTGTTTTTACACTTTACTCAATGCAAATGTAAATAATAACATTGCTGTGCTATGCATTGAGATCTCAGAAGACTCTGCTCTTCTTAGCGCGGGTCTTTCGGATTCAACAATTAAAGTATGGTCATTAACTCCTAATAAGCTGAAAACTATGAAATCAGCTCAAGAGCTCGAACTTATCGATAGGGAAGCTGATGATGTTTTAGTTCGCATGATGAACGAAAAATCTGCAACTGATCTCAAAGTTCTACATGGTCATAGTGGTCCTGTATACTCTTTATCTTTTAGTCCAGATAGAAATCTTTTATTATCTTGTTCAGAAGATTCAACAAGTAAGTCTTTCTAATGTTATTGATTGGTATTTCTATTATTAACTTGACTTCGTTTTCTAATTTCAGTCAGACTATGGAGCCTTCAAACCTGGACCAATATATGTTGTTATAAAGGACATTGCTTTCCAGTCTGGGATGTTGTTTTCAGTCCTCATGGGTACTATTTCGCTACTTGTGGCCACGATCGCACAGCTCGTCTTTGGGCTACAGACTCTCATCAGCCACTAAGGTTTTTTGTTGGTCATTTTTCCGATGTTGATGTAAGATTTAAATTAGTTACTATTGCTAAAGGGTTGTTGATAATTGGGGTTTCAATTTTCAATCAACAATTAGACTCAGAAATGTTTTATCATGTTTTATCGAAATCTTTCAAAATTTCAGGATATACCTGCCAGAAAATTAAATTAAGTTAATTAATAGCTAAAAAAATCGAAATGAAATTTGGTGAAATCAAAACAAAATTTGGTAAGAGTAAGGTTTTACGGACTAAGGCGGAACACACTTTCGCCAACCAATGGTAAAATTAATAATGAATAGACGAACAGGTGATTATTGTGAACTTCATTTGAGCTTAATTGTTTTTTAGCTGAAATCAATGATTAATCAGAATTTTCTCTTCTCCTCTTTCAATATTCATGGTTTGCGACAATATTAGTAATTAATAATTTGTACAATTATCATTATAAACCTTACTCTTACCCAAAAGTTTATCCTACTTCAATAGGGACCATTTAAAATTCAGTCTAAATTACTGGCAGGTCTCTGTACTATGCAAATACTCTAGATTATTAATAAGTGATCAAATAATTGCATGGGTCCTTTTCCTGAAAGCAGGCGAAGTTTCAATATTTAACCAGCCACCAAAGTTTATACATTATGAATATTTGACCCAAATTCTTTTAAAAATTGATATTTCCGCATGGTATGAACCTTATTTGTATTCTTGTTTGTAAACAGACAAGAATTTCAGCCCCGAAAATCTCATATAAAATTTTCGGCTTTGAAGAGTAAATGAATTTTTTTCCATCCATGTTAAATTTACATAGAGCTGGCAAGCTCTTTTAAAAAGGTACTGATTGAATTGTAATTAAGTAATTGAATTATTATAATCATTATTTGATTGTCATGAATTATGTATCAAAATGAAGCCCTACTTATCAACAACCCTTTATTAGGTTTGATATGATCAAACTAATATTATCTGGCTGCTTTGGTTTAATCCTTAACTTGTTTTTTTTATTTCATTCATAGTGCATTCAATTCCACCCCAATTCGAATTACGTTGCCTCAGGATCAACAGATAGGACTATCAGAGTATGGGATGTTTTGACTGGTCAATGTGTTCGCTATTTTACTGGCCATAAAGCTAAAATCTATACATTGTTATTTACAACCTGTGGTCGGTATTTAATTTCAGCCGGTGAAGATAAAAAGATTCTTGTGTGGGATCTGTCTCATGGCTATCTGATTGCCTGTCTGAGTGGGCATACCGAGACGATTTACACACTTGCAATCAGTCGTGATGGTGTTATGCTAGCTTCGGGTGGAGCCGATGATTGCATCATGCTTTGGGATTTAGCTAAGCTCCTTGATGAAGCTGATTCAGAAGATATGAATATGTCTCAAACTCCAACTGTCAGGTAAGCTATTGTTTTCAACATCATCTAACCCTTGTAAATAAACAAAATAATCATAAATATTTTTATCACTCTATTCACAGAACCAACACGGACAAAATTCTGTTGAAAACATTCAAGACCAAAGCCACTAATGTCATCAGCATTCATTTTACCAGAAGGAATTTGGCACTAGCTGCTGGAGTTTTACATTAGGCATTTTCTTTACCAAAACTTTAGCTTAAAATATCAAATTTCCATCTTCATCCACTTTTCCCGCTAAAATCTAATTTTATTAGATTTTGTTATTTCTGCCATTATATTCATAAGTTCATGAAAAACGCAATTCCCTCTAAAAATGTGCAAAATTCTCGTGGCATTGATAAATTTTCTTATATTTAAATATACAAAAAGATTTACTTGATACTATTTTGTACTAATTAAATGTAAAAATTCAAAAACTTATAAAAGTTCATTGCAAATAATTCATCGACAATCGGCTTGAATAGGGTTTATATTCTGAAGACTTAAACTTTAAGGGTGATGTGATCATGGGAAGTGATTTAAACTCCTCAAAATAATATATCATTATTTATGTGATTCATTTAATTATTGAAAATAATAATTTCACCCACAAAATGCAAAACCGATTTTCATATTTAAAGAAAAATTAAGATAATTAATAAAATTGTGTTTCCCTAAAAGTTTAGCTTATCATAATGTTTAAATCCATTGAGAAAGCAAGTTACAATATGTAAACAAACTTAAAATGGACTTTACTTAAAAGATTGACAAAAATTTTTCTAAACAAACTGCAAAAAAAGTTCCAGTCTGAATATTTTAAGCGAAATATAATTTGATAATTTTTGTAGATCTTAATGACTCTCTCATTGTAAATACAGTTAATTATATCCGGTCATCAATGTGAGATACGAAATTTGTTCATAAACAAATCTAAATTCATTAATTTCACTCAATAAAGTACAATTTATTTTTAAGGTAAGGCGAGAAGGAAAAAAAAGTTGAACTTGTCATTTTCATCTTATTTTAACCTTTTAATGGTTGAGAAGTTTATGCTTACCTGATTCACGGTCCATGGTCATCATTCTCTTTCATTCCGTGACCAGGTTAACCATGTTTAACATCTTGAAATTCCCTTTAATAGTAAAGTTAAGGTAAATGTTATTCAAAAAAATCAAGACCATTTTCTTTCTTTTCTGCAGCAAAAAAAAGGAACAATGTAAAGCTAAAATAGATTTAAGTCAATCGTTTCTTACTAGGATCACTCCTTAATCACAATAATGATGATGATAATAATGATGATCATCATCATGAAATGTATAGAATGACTCTTAAAAAGTAAAGTTTGACCCATCAATAAACTGAGAATTAATTGTTGACTTGGTTCCATGATTTTTGCTTCTCATTACCATTATACTTTTATACTGAGATCATATCAACGACGACGACCTTTTTCTTTCACCTTTACAATATAATAGTTATCATCTTCAGGACTAACCTTCTATTATCCTGTGTTCGGTAGCATTTTTATCATTATTCGGGTCTTCTTTTAATTTTGTCATCAAAATAGAAAATTATGAGAAAAGAGAAAGAAGGAGAAAGAGAGAAAAAAGAGAATAAGAAATAAGAAAGATCGAGATATAGAGAGACAGACGGGATAGAGTGTAGCATAAGATAAAGGATGTAAAGCCTGTTTGTCGGTTGAACAAATATGTGTAATCAATTGTACTCATTTTAAGTAATACAATCGAGTTTTACAAATTGTATTATTAATTGTTGAAGATGAGATTGAGTCAACACATAAACTCTAATTTAATTGGAAAAGTAATATTTTCAAGTTTATCAAATTATTCCCCTTAATTTGCTTTATAACATGTGTTTATTTCTTGGACAACATTTCTACCGTTACTGCGATATCCCTTTGATGGTCACCATATAATCTCAGTTTACCAAATTTATTAACTGTTACAAGTGTTATGTTTTTATACAATCAAAAGTGTTCATATTTTGGTGTAAATTTCCCTGGTTATTGATCAGTGCGGTCCATTTATTTGTGGGAATATGATTTATTTTTGATTCAACTGCCATATCAAGTACAACTGCAAAATTATTTTGTTTTATAGTCTATCAATATTGACTTTGTTTAAACTAGTGGATACGCTGTTCGTTCAAATTGTAATCATCATGGATTATGTGCTTCTCCAATTGGGTAACCCTGGTCGCTACCAGCTTTTCATTGGTTTTTTACTTTGTTGCCTTCAAATTCCAATCTCATTTTCTGGTCATCTTTGGTCATTTTATATGGATGATGTTCCTCACCGATGTTTTATACCTTCTTGGCAGCGTAATGGCTCTAATGAGGCTGAATGGATTCCTCGATTGACAAATGATAAAACAGGAACAACTGAATTTGCTTCATGTGAAATGTACATTGATCCTTTTGCTCATTGGAAGGGAACCACGAAATGCTCTTCAGGATGGGAATATCGTCCATACGAGGGTCAACACAATCCAATAGTTGAATGGAATTTAGTTTGTGATCGATCGTATTTCGTTACTTTACTTTTCTATGTTTCATTAATTTCATCAATCGTGGGTGGATTGATGATTGGTATAATTGCTGATCGATTTGAGCGTAAATCAGCTCTTTTACTGGCTTTATACTTATTCGTTGCCATTGCTTTTTCAATGCATTTTGTTCAAGATATCATTTCATTTGGAGTCGCGTTTTGCTTACAAAATTTTTTCCTAACGGTAAGAAGCAATCAAAACAAAATGCCATTATGTTAGCTTGTTTTATAAGTTGATTAAACTAAATATTTCTTTCTCAATCAGGGTATTCAAATCGCATCTTATGTTCTTCTCATGGAAATCATGCCTTCTCCGTATCAATTTCAAGCCTCTGTATATTATGCTGCCTTTGCTATTGTTTCATCAATGGTTGTTCCTCTAATTATGTGGCTAATTTCATCATGGAGATACATTCAATTAGCAATTTCTGCTCCTGGAGTCGTCTTTTTTGCTCATCTATGGTATAATTTTACAAACCTTTTGTTATAACAAAAATAACAATTTTAGTCAATATTTTTAAGCTCATCCTCACATTAATTTTTAATAAATTTTCTTGCTTCTGTCCATCAGGATTCTTCCTCGATCTCCTCTATGGTTAATATCGGAGGGCAAAATGGTCGAAACAGAAAACTTAATGGAAAATTTGGGCAAACAGAATGGTAAATCGATGCCACCAAGCTTCAGATTACATTTGCAAAATTTTCTCAACTTGATTAAAAGTTGTGATGGCCTGAGTCGTAAAAGACACAACATTTGGTCTCAATTTTCATCGCCTTCACTCCGTTGGTACCTTTTATGTCATTTTTACTTCTTTTTTGTCACTTACCTATCAATTAACGTCACCGATTCCCAAGTATTACGTCTTCACCAAACTAAACATACCGATTACTTTTACCGTGGCCTTATGGATTTAGGCGCTGTCACATTAATCTATCATGTATCTATGAGGTTAGTAACGCTAGATTTTCCACTAAATTGATCATAATTACTTTTAATTCGCCAATTTTGCTTAATCAAATACAGATTTGGGCCACGATCAATTCAATCTTTGCTGTTTATTTTAAGTGGACTTCTTATGATGATCGCGATTTCGCTTGAAGAGTTTTTTCCAGTTAATCCCAATCGAGATGGTAATAGCCATGACTTATGATTCTTTCTCATTTCATTTACCAATTTCACAAAGATTTAAATAATTAATCATTTTATCTTCTCTTTATATCAACAGGCTATGAATATCAATTGCTATTGATCCCATCAACACTTGTTTCAGGAGCTCGTACTTTACTCATGACTTTACCCATCTTCATTTGGTATCATACAATTAAAACATTACCAACTGGAATTAGGTAAAAGACAAATTTTTGAATCATTTTCAAACAACCATCAAAACAAAGCTGAATTGGAATGGTTGAAAGTGAACAAAGAGAAAAATAAAAAAATGTTTGCAAATATAATCAACATCTATTTTAACAAATAATTAGGGTCAATTGTCTAATTAATATATGTTGATTGTACTTTTTGTATTAACCAACAAGACTTTTTACCAAGTTTGAGTTAGAAACAATCAAAATTCAATGAACCTTATCTTTAGATCAGATTTTACTTTCATTTCAACTTTAATTAACGTTTGAGGTGAATGCTTGTTTAAAAGTTGAACATTCATTTAAAATTAATAATACAACAAAATCAGTTTGAATTGAAATCACACTTGCGTTAGAATAGCCATTTTCAAAGTTAAATTCAATCCAATTATTGAATCAGCTAAAGCACTAATTCAGTTTCCAATCTTTTAATTGATTTTCTCATATTAACTATGAATTTTATTTCTTTATTTTTGCCACCAAACACTCTTAATTGGAAATATTTTTACTCGATCAACCCTTACATTATTTCAATAAAGAGCAATTGGTTTTGCTTGCTGTTTCGGCTGGGGAATCGTTGGCCGCATGTCAGCTCCTAATTTGCTTGTACTTGTAAGTTGTAATGATAATGAAAATTAGAACTGCAATAATTGATTCAAATTTTTACATACTCAGGCCAACCTCATCGCTCCTTTCATCCTATCGGACTATGTGGATCGCTATCTATGATTGCTGGAGGATTATCACTTCTGTTTCCAGATTTTTGGCGTAAACCTTTACCAAATACATTATCAGATGTTGAAAATCGTAGTTCACCCCAAACAACAATCAGTCGATCCTCGATAAGTGGCTTTAGACAGATAAAGAGTATCAATTCAAATTATATGAAGAATTCGTGTGACATTGGTATTTGTGGACCGATAGATCCTAAAACTGAAGCCAAGTTGATTATGCAGCAAAATTTAAACCAGGAAAATCAATTGCAGCAACATCAATTTCCACCACCAGATTGTTATTATGAAGATGAACTTGGACTTCCTATCGAGAATCAATTAACTTGTGATAATTACAATTTAAACATGAGACCATCAAATGTAATCAATAGTCAACTAATTAATCCAGATAGTGAAAGAATGAATCCAAGAAGTTCAATGGTGATTAGTGAGGCTCAAAGCTCCCAAATAACCGAGATTGATGATATGTTTGTAGATAATGGTAATTGGCACTTATTTTCACCCTCGTATAACCACCAAAATCAACAGCCAATTAATAATATCAATCATTATCCTGTACAACAACAGAGTCAACAACAACATCAACAGCAACAATTATCATCTAATCATTTACTTCACAACAGAAATACCATTGAAACAAATAGATCATTCCGAGATCTTCAAATTTTCCCCAATAGTGGAACGCTTAATTGTAACAATGTTATTGGATCAGCCATCGATGACGATGAGACTTCAGCCGTAGTTATTATTGAGAATAGTGTTTCCAAAGTTTCAGAAACGAAGCTTTAAATTGTAATTCATTTTCAACTGAATCTATCTCTTTAAATCTTTAACTACAACATCGAGGAGTAAATTTTAATCAACCAATCTGTGATAATTTTAAATACAATAGCTGAATGACTATTTGCCTTCAGTTTTATGTTTTCTTGTTAAGATTTTTTTCAATTTTGATCGTTTCGATTGTTTTAATAAATAAATGATATACTTTAGTATTGTTAATAATCAGATGAATGCTAATTCAATGAATTATAATATAAAGTTTGACTTAATAAAGTTAAAGAGTATTTTTTTGGTATTTATTAATAAATATGATAAATATTGGTTTAACCATACAAATGGACAAAAACGGGTTAATTTTTGAATTTAGACTCTGTTAGTTTGTGGGAAAAATGAGTGAGTCCATCACTGAGTCCATTTGTGCAAGTTTAAGATTTCTCTGATATTAGATAGAGTTCGAGAAAATCGAGTTCAAAATTTAAACTTCGATCGCTTTTTCTGCAATTATGGAAGCAGATTTTTTCGTGCAATTTATTTTAATAATGTAAAATTTGATGAAGAACCCAAAAATGGAATTATTTTGAGAGAAAGAACTTTGCTTTTTCTGTAAATCAGATCAGTTCGATTCTCAGTTAAATCGACTGTTTTCTGTGACCGTAAGAGTTACTTAGCTGAAACTTACTACCAATGTATAGAAATCCCTGGAACACATCATGAATTCAATAGTTTTTTCAGTTTATCGACAGTTCTCTAGTTTTTTGCCATCAACCTAAAAACTTTGACCCTAAATATATTGAGACTGACATCACATACAATTATCATTCTTTGATCAAATGTTAGATTTTATTATAAATTGAAATATTAAATTATTCATGATACTAGAATAAAAAGTTATAGTATCGTATTACTTATATTGATGGATTTTAAACTTGCTTTATAAAACTAAATGGTTACACAAATCTTATGTGACAGAATAATATTTATTATTAAATGAATTAGCTCAAGTTTTATTCGGCATTCAGAAGTAGATTGTTATTGTCCATAGTAAAATCTAATATTTGATGAAAGAATGATGGAGGTGAGTGATTCCATTCTCAAAATATTTAGGGTCAAAGTTTTTAGACAAATGGCCAAAACCAAGCGAACTACCGATGAAATGAAAAAATTAGTTGATCAAGGATGTTAAGTAACAATTTTTGTGAACTGCTAGTAAGTTTCAGCTAAGTAACTCTTACGGCCACAGACAGCAATCGGTTTAACTAAAAATCGAACTGATCTGATTTACGCAAAAATAAAAGTTTTTTCTCTCAAAATAATTCCATTTCTGGGCTTTTCATCTAAGGTTACATTAGCCAAATGAGTTTCATGAAAAAATCTGCTTCCGTAATTGCAGAAAAAGCGATCCAAGTTTAAACTTTGAACACGATTTTCTCGTAAATTAGCGACTGGAGAAATCTTTAACTTCGACAAATGGACTCAGTTTAGATGTCCCTACAAACTGACAGAGTTTAAATCTGAAAGAATCCAATTTTAACCGTATAGCCCATTTTTCTTGCATTATTTGTTCATTTTGTGTCAGTTTGTGCAGAAATGTGACAATTGTAGCAATCTTTGCTTTTTAGTAACCATTAATAGACTGAAACCTTAATATTTGTTCAGCATTTTGAATAAAATCTTTTTCGTTTTGGTCCGAAATTTTATTCATTCGCCTTTTATACTCATCAGATTTGTTGTGATGAAAATAACAGTCGATCACAGTGATCTTGTTCAATAAATAATGCTAAAAGACACAACAAACACAATAATCACATTTCTGCACAAATTGACACAAAATGAACAAATAATGCAATAAAAATGGGGCTTAAAGCGGTAAAAATTTATTTCTTTCAGATTTAAACTCTGTTAGTTTGTAGGGACATCTAAACTGAGTCCATTTGTCCAAGTTAAAGATTTCTCCAGTCGCTAGTTTACGAGGAAATCGCGTTCAAAGTTTAAACTTCGATCGCTTTTTCTGCAATTATGGAAGCAGATTTTCTCGTGTAACTTATTTTACTTATAGTCCTTGCGATGTAAAACCCAACAATGGAATTATTTTGAGAGAAAAGACTTTTATTTTAGCGTAAATCAGATCAGTTCGATTTTTAGTTAAACCGACTGCTGTCTGTGGCCGTAAGAGTTAATGAGCTGAAACTTAGTATCAATCCATAAAAATTGTTAATGCACATCATTGATCATCAGATTTTTTCATGAAACTCATTTTGCGTATGATCCTTTTGGTGATAAACCAGAAAAGGCATTAATTTTTGAGAAAAACTAAATTCGTTTTTCTGTAAATCAGATCAGTTTGATTTTCAGTTAAACCGATCGCTTTCCGTGACCATAAAAGTTAGAGAGCTGAAACTTACTACCAGTCCTTTAAAATTACTGGAATATATTATAGACGCGATAGTTTTTTCAGTTTATCGACAGTTCTCTAGTTAATGGCCATTAGCCTAAAAACTTTGACTCTATGGTTACACTTGCAAATGTAATGCAAAAAGGACTGCTAAAGACTCGAACATTTAAGCAAAAAGCTGGCGCTTGGCGAATTTGTAGGATCTTAAAAACTAAGTCCATTGATACTATTAAATAATTTATCCGATGGACAGTTTTTGTAAAAATCGAGGTCAAAGTTGAGACTTCGATAGCCTTTTATTGAGCTATTAAAGCAGATTTTTTTATGAAACTCATTTTAATGATGTGACTTTTGACGGGCAACCAGAAAATGGTCTTATTTTGAAAAATAATATTTTCTTTTTTCGTGAAACAGATAAAGTCCAATTTCCAGTTAAACCGATTGTATTCTGTGGCCTTAAGAGTAAGCGAGCTGAAACTTGTTATTTGTGCACAAAAATTGTTGGAACACAGCATGAATTGAATGATTTTTTCAGTTTATGGACAGTTCTCTAGTTAATGGCCATTAGCCTAAAAACTTTGACTCTAAATATATCGAGAATGGCCTAACTCACAATCACCATTATTTGATCAAATGTTAACTTTTATTATGTGCTATGATATATTGAAATATTGAATCATTCATGATCCTAGAATGAAAAGCTATAGCATTGTATTTGTTTGTTGCCAGATTTGAGCTTGCATTATAAAGCTAAATGGTTTCTCAAACAAAAATCTAATGTGATAGAATGATATTCATTATAAATCAATCAGTTCAGAATTACTACGTTATTTTGTAATGATATTTAATAACCCATAATAGAGTCTAATATTTGATCAAAGAATGCAAGTTTTAGGGGCTACGATTCTCGAAATATTGAGGTTCGAAGTTTTCAAACCAACGGCCAAATGCAAGAGAACTGTCAGTAAATTGAAAAAACTAATTGATCAATGATATTTACCATTGCTTTTTATACACAAATTATAATTTTCAGTACTCTAACTCACACGGACCGAGACTAACTGAAGTTTAATCCAAAATCGAACTTATCTGATTTACAGAAAAATAAAAGTTTTTTCCTTCAAAATGACTTCATTATTGGATTAATCACCAAAAGGACCATACACAAAATGAGTTTCATGAAAATATCTGCTTCCATAATTGCAGGAAAAGCGATCGAAGTTTAAACTATGAACACGATTTTCTCGTAAACTAGCGACTGGAGAAATCTTTAACTTCGACAAATGGACTCAGTTTAGATGTCCCTATAAACTAGCAGAGTTTAAATCTGAAAGAAATCCATTTCTACCGCTTTAAGCCCATTTTTCTAGCATTAGTTGTTCATTTCGTGACAATTTGTGCAGAAATGAGTTTGTTGTGTCTTTTTATTATTATTTATTGAACAAGATCACTGTGATCGACCGTTATTTACATCACAACAAATCTGATGAGTATAAAAGGCGAATGAATAAAATTTCGGACCAAAAAAGAAAAAGATTTTATTAAAAAATTGAGATTTCAGTCCATTTATGGTTACTAAAAAGCAAAGATTAACACAATCCTCTCATTTCTGCCAAAACTGACACAAAATGAACAAATAATGCAAGAAAAATGGGCTTTCAGCGGTTAAAATCGGATTCTTTCAGATTTAAACTTCTGTCAGTTTGTAGGGACATCTAAACTGAGTCCATTTGTTGAAGTTAAAGATTTCTCTAGTCGCTAGTTTACGAGAAAATCGCGTTCAAAGTTTAAACTTCGATCGCTTTTCCTGCAATTATGGAAGCAGATTAATGGCAAATTAAAAATTAATGGCAAATATCATTGATTAATTAATTTTTTCAATTTATTGGCAGGTCTCTTGCATCTGGCCAATGGTTTGAAAACTTCGAGCCTCAATATTTCGATAGTGTTAGCACCTACAAGCATCATTGTTTGATCAAATATTAGATGCTATTATGGGCTATTATATTTATGCGAAAATACCGAATAATGGCTGAACTGATTGATTTATAATGAATATCATTGTATCACATTAGATTTTTGTTTGAGAAACCATTTAGCTTTATAATGCAAACTCGAATCTGGCAACACAAACAAATACAATGCTATAGCTTTTTATTCTAGGATCATGAATGATTCAATATTTCAATATATCATTGCACATGATAAAAGTTAACATTTGATCAAATAATGGTGATTGTGAGTTAGGCCATTCTCGATATATTTAGAGTCAAAGTTTTTAGGCTAATGGCCATTAACTAGAGAACTGTCCATAAACTGAAAAAACCATTCAATTCATGCTGTGTTTCAACAATTTTTGTGCACAAATAACAAGTTTCAGCTCGCTTACTCCTTAGGCCACAGAATACAATTGGTTTAACTGAAAATCGGACTTGATCTGTTTTACGCAAAAAGAAAATGTTATTTTTCAAAATAAGACCATTTTCTGGTTGCTCATCAAAAGTCACATCATTAAAATGAGTTTCATAAAAAAATCTGCTTTAATAGCTCAATAAAAGGCTATCGAAGTCTCAACTTTGACCTCGATTTTTACAAAAACTGTCCATCGGATAAATTATTTAATAGTATCAATGGACTTAGTTTTTAAGATCCTACAAATCCGCCAAGCCTCAGCTTTTTGCTTAAATGTTCGAGTCTTTAGCAGTCCTTTTTGCATTACATTTGCAAGTGTAACCAGAAAATTGCTTTATTTACCAAGAAATGGGTTTTAATGAGTTTGTTTTGTTGTTTAAGCTGTTTACAAGTCATTTACAGCGCAAAAATTATGAACCAAACGCGCTTATAGAAATTTATCGAGCTGAATTGAATTATTGATTAGTAAAGGATTGGATTGGTGAAAAAATAATGATTGTAGATGTTACCATACTCGGAATATCGAGGTTCAAAGTTTTTGGGTTAATGTTAAAAATCAAGAGAACTGTTGTCAAACTGTTAAAACTTTTCAATGCATGATGTTTATTAACAATTTTTATACACAAAAGATAAGTTTCAGTTCGCTAACTGTTACAATACAAGAAATGGATCGGTTTAACAATAAATCGAACTAATCTGTTTCACAGAAAAAGAAAGTTTCTATTTCTCAAAATATGTACATTTTCTGGTTGATCATCAAAATTCAAATTAGTAAAATAAGTTTGATGAATAAATCTGCTTCCATTATTGTACAAAAAGCGATCGAAGTTTCAACTTTCGATTCGATTTCCACGAAAACTGTGAATCCGAGGAACTTTTAAATCGCACAAATGGATTCAGTTTTCATGTCCCTACAAACCAACAGAATCTAAATTTGTGAGAAGTTTATTTTTACCCGTTTCGGCCTTGTGTCTCAATTTGTGTATAAATGTGATAATTGTGTTATTTGTGTCTTTTTAGTAACAACCTTAGATCTTTTATCAAGCCTGGAAGTATCGAGTATTGACCATCATTGGAACTGATCAAAATTTAATTAAGACTCAATCAATTTTGAACCAGAAAATATGGAAAGACTATTTGGTTTCTGTGAAAATTAATCTAATAATTTGACAAATAGCCAACTCTCCCAAACTTGCATCTCTACAGTTCTCATTGTCAAAGAAAGCTGAATCATTTCGATAATTTTACCCTGAAAATCACTTCTATTACGATTAATCTCTCTGGAATTTCGTTCAAATTTGGATTCAAGTTTAATCAATCTAACACAGTCATCAAAATCAATAACAATTGAACCATTTTCTAGAGAATCTCGGATTGAGAAAGTCATTAATTCTTTTGTTCATTGATGGTTTTTCATCTAATTGAGTATAAGGATTTTAAATGTTTCCCCTCATAGTTTATCTGATAGAACTGAATAGACCTTCGCTTAAAGAATTGTAAAATTACTTTCAATTGTGACGTCAATTCAAGTCAAAAATAGTTTATTTTATGATTATTTATAAATAATAACTTATGTAATTAAGGTGGGTTGGTTGCATTGTATAAATCAAAATACATACAAAATTGAATCATTTTCAAGACAGAACAAAAGAGCTGATAAAAAAATCAACAAAATGGAAATGTTTCAGCAGTTTTGATGAATTGAATTCCGCGACCGGGCCTTTCTTTACTATAATAACCCATAATGGATGATGACTTTGGACTAGTATCAATCACTTTACAGGGATTATGGGTTTCCCAAATGTTAAACTGTTTACATTGTACAGTATTGAAATTACACTCAACAATGGAGGCAATGAAAAATTGTCGAGCAGCTACGTGATCACATAGGAAGTTGGTTGCTTTGGTACACCAAGGTTGCTTATAACCGCCATTTGGATAGAAGTCAACATGACCCATTGGTTCGGGAATACCAAACCGACCGGCTCTAAGGCTACTAATGGGTGAATTTTCATCAAATCCAGAAGAGTGAATTACATCAATGAAATCAGCATCGTTTTCATTCAATGTTGTTTCAGTGTCTGTATCACCCAAATGATCGCCTGGATCCAAACCTAGCAAAAAGGACAATAGCAATAAAATTAGCATTGAAATAATGGCTGAAATGACTCAAAACCAAACAATCTTGAAACTGTTTCAATTTTGATGATCGGCTAAATCCTTCACAATCTTTGGTTGTATTTTTACTTCGTAATTTAAGTTTGATTTTGTTGGGTTAAATAAAAGCCTCATTGGGTTGAGGGTAATATTGTAGGTAACTTACCAGTGACTCGTCCAATTTTGTTACCAAACAGTTTGTTACCCCAGGAACAAGCGAAATGAGAAACCTTGGCTCCTAATGAATAACCAATTAGGTGAATGTTTTTAGGGTTAATTGACCGATGGATACGAAGTTTTTCAATGAGCAACGCAACCTGACGTCCAACCAGTTCGGTGTTAGCAATGGCTCTAAGGAAATTACCGATTCTCACAGCTACCCGGTAATCAACTATGATCACTGAATCAATATCAGTGAAGCGCAAAAGACGCTGCATCATTTCAATGTAATCGCTTTCACTTCCACTCTCAGTGTAACCATGAATGATAAAGGCAAGTTTACTTGAGGTTGGAACGGATGAAAGGGCTTCCTCATCTTCATAGCTCAATTGAATTGGATTTTCTTCCGGTGATTTGTAAAGAAGAAATTTGGTTCTCAAGAAAGATGGCAATTCGGGAAGGAAACAGGTTCGTTTGGATGCTGATTCACCTGTATTGAAACATCCCAGATTCTTGTAACAAATTTCACCTCGATAAAAGCATCCATTGGCAGAAATCTTTTCAACGGCAGACATCATTGAGGCTACAAATGGGTCAAGAGCTGAAAGAAGAAAAGGTGAAGATGAAGTAGAGTTTGATGGTGAAGATGGTTGAGATGATTTAGATGATGATCCAAGGGTTAAAGCCGAGGTTAAACCAATGCGACTCAGATTTGGATGATTGGCTACCGAGCTAACTGAGCGACTAATTGTATCAATCCCTGAATTAAGAAGAGCACTAAAACCAGACAAAATTGATCCAATGCTTGTTTCCATCGAAATATTCCAATTTTTTGTTCTCAATTTAATATTTGTGGCTGTTTAATGAAACAAGGAGAAACAATTAGTAAATTGCTTAAATATCGCAATAAATCAAAGCCATCAACAGCAAGTATCGTTAAAGAAACCCAAAAATATTACAAGTCTTATCAAGGAATGCGTAATTTTGCCGAAACAATATCTTCATTATTAATTAATAAGTTATTATGTTTACTATTGAAAGCTTTCGTTGCAATTGTTGATACAAAAACAAGGTAATTGATGCTAAAATGGTTAACCTTCATGTGAGGCTAGTGGAACTATTGCTACTTTTAGTTGACAGAAGTAATGATTGAAATGTTATTAAGAGGCTACTTGATTAGGTAACGCATAACATCGCCAAAAAACGGGTTTACAATCATTAGTTTCTGGCAAGATTCCCAATGAGCAAATTGTAAATAATTAAAATCCTGGATCATGATTATTATGATTATGATGATGACCTGTTTACAAAGCAGTGTACATTATACAGGACGATCCAACAACTTTAACATTTGTCGACACGGATAACTCATCAAGTGTGTAAGTTACGAAATGCTGAGAAGAGACCAGCTCTTGAGAAGATTCAAAGCCTATTCCAGACATTTCATGAAAATCCATCTGATTTAGTTTCCATTGCATCCTATTAAATTAATACTAACCATCAATCAGCTCAAATATTAAACCTTTTCAAGTTTCAATATTTTTCAGCATAAAATGACTTAAACAGCTTTTTGTAAACAAATTTTTGTAAACAACTTTGAATACCGGCAAAACCCACATTTTCAATTGGTTAAAGCCCTTCGGAACTGATGACAGGAAGAAGAGCAATAGGAAGAGACTAAAAATACATGATAAAGTTGTCTCTAAAAGGCTATCAGCCATTCAATTGTTCAGTTGATAGTTTGTTGTTAATAATTTTTGCTATTAACATTGTTGAAACGGTAAACATTGCTTGTATTGAAAAGTATACAATGAAAGCAACAAGACTGGACGTAAACAGATACATTACCAAGAGATCATCTTGTTTATTCTGATGCAATTTACGGCAAATGTTTCTATTTCAAATATATCTTCAACAATTCAAAATAAACAACAAATTTTGATTTCCTTGTTAGCTTTTACACTGGACATGGGAAAGATTAAGGAGAAGACAATTTGACTTTGTTTTCACCTTTTTTAACATTATTTTGGATTCACTCATGTCTAGGAGGAAACCTTTGACAATTACTTTACAATCAACTGTCAAAGAGTTTTACTAATCAACTCTTTACTGACTACTAATGTAGCTTTTTGAAATACGATCAAATTGAATCACTAAATGACTTACCTGTGCATGGTTTAAACAGAATCACTAAGGTAAATAAAAGACTTGCTGATGCAACCAGAGTTAAACTTCTAGATGGAATCATTTTGATTTGTTGCTCAGTTGATGGACTTTGGTTTCCAAGCACTAATGTTTTGATGAGATTGGGCGAATCGGTCGAGACTGAATTTCAATGAATTACGGTGAAATTTTTGCAAAATAATGGGGTGAAAACTCAACGCCAGATGAAAAGAGATGCTGGTAAAAGGTGGGTAACCATTTTAAGAGTGATGTTGTTACTGTTTGTCTGTCCAAGAAAAAAAATCTTGATCAAGTTAAACAACAAACATTAACTGTATCATTGCCATCAAAACAAGATGTTGATGTTAAAGTGGTTGGACAACTTTTTCTTTCCAAATTTTTGCCCATCTAATAGTCATCCTCTCTGCCTTTTACATCAGCCTGATCATCACTGTTAACATTTCCTATTCCGCTTATGAGAGCCATTCAATGAACTGCTTGGTGACTTTTCCCTTCCCACTTTGTTTTCTTGTATTGACCCTTGAAAAGGCATATAATCATTAAGTCAATTCACATTGAAAAAGAGCTCAAAATTACTAAAGTTAATAGTCTGTCAAAATGGGAAAATTCAATAGTTCATGGATTGAATATCATTTAATCATTCATTCTGAGTAATACATCAAGTCTGAGTGGAAATGCTTTATTAAAAACCATCTCTCATTATATTAATGGTTAAAAAATGATCTATTTATTAATAAATCACAAAAGTCTTGAAAATTTTAATGTTTAACTGCAAATGGTTTTTGTTGACAATCCATCTTTATATTCAACTCGACAAAAGACTAAACATGTGATTCAAATTTTTCCATTTTCATTGATTATCTACTGAAATCAAGTGCCAGCGAAGATTGTGTTGATTTACGCTCGAATTGATTTCAAAAATAAATTATCAGTGGATAAACGAGTTTCCATCTTTAAATTGGCTCAATTTGACAGTCAATAATTTTGTGGGCTTTTCCACTGCGCCTTGATAGTGATGAGACAAAAAGTACAATCGTCTACAAATCTGTGAAAATACAAGTTATATGGATTTTTCATCTGTCATTCAATAAGTTGTACAATGCAACAATATTAATCTATCTTTAGTAACGAAAAGGCATAATTAATCGACATATGGCGAGTTATAACACTGAAAATACACTGTATACAAATATGCTTTTATTTGTTCTTCAGATTCAGCCCATTCTGGGCTGTTTTATCAGGTCAAATTTACATTTTATTTAAATTTTTGTATATTTAAATAGCTTTAAAAGATATATATATATACAACTTCATTGATTGTATTTGGATTATTGAATTCGCCATCCGTGCACATGATTAGCCTTAAACCAGAAATATTTCAAGCCGTTGATGAAGATTTTTAGGCTTTTAAGGAAGACGAAATAAATTCATAGTTTTTCATTTTACAATATACAGTCAACTATCATACAGTTGGCAAGATTTCTCTATCCATCAGGTGGCTTGATTTTCTTTTTTCATCTGGGCCGATGGTCAAATATATGCTTTTATTTACTTTGAAGACAAATTTGCTGTTTCCTGATTAAATCATAAGTCGATATTGATTAGTTTTGCCAATCATATTACATAAGCCGTATAATTTGTAAAATGCGCCAGAGATGCTTTCATTTTAACGAATCTGCACAATAGATTCACTCACAGTCCTTTATTTTTTTGTTAACATCAGTTATGAACAGCTGAATAATGGTTAGTATTGGGAACAGATGATGCGAAAAGCGTTGAAAGTCCAGGTTTAAATTTCAGGTTCACTGCTAGTATGTCCATCAGTACTATCTGTGGTTCCATAAGTTGGTTCTCTACAATGAACTATCTGTTTCTGTCTGGAATACTCGGGATCCCATGTTTGAAGCCTAGCTGAAGCAAACAGTACAAAAGCCAATCCACCCAGAGCATATATACCCGCCGTCAAATAGAACACTTTGGACCAGTTTTTCAACGTTTCATCTTCCCCGACAAACTCTTTCACAGCACTTTGGATCAAAACACCAGGCATATTGCTGAAGCAATTTGTGATTCCCATAAGAGTTCCAGCAAAAGTTGGTGCCATTTCAACATGAACAATCGACGATCCTGCAAGAGTAGCTGCTCCTAATGAAATAGCCACAATGAACAGGACAACTACTTTAACACGATCGGTGCCCAGTGAAGGAATAATAATGAAACAAATAGCTGGACCAAAAGCACCTAAATTCAAAAGGAAAAATACAAAAATTGAATATAATAACAGTCAAAGTTCAATAGATCCTTAGCAACTCTTTTAAATAATCGATAAAATGTTTCCAAAAATATATCAGTGTATCAAAATCCTTTGAATTAGGGCAGATAAGAAACTGATAAATTTTCAAACGACAACTAACCAATTGCGGTGAAAAATTTGCGCAAACAGGTGATGCTAAATCTACCAGATCTACGGATTCTGTCACAGATAACGCCAAATAACATGGAACAAATAGCCGCAGATAAATGTGGCAAACTGGAAAGTAAACCATTCTGTAAATATAAAAAAGGATTGTATTAGCAACGTATATCTATCAATATTTGATGAAAGCTTGAACATAGCACGAAACAATAAGTCGTTTCGATCTGCTCTAAAATTACCGATTCAATCTTCATGTTTAAGATTTCAGCCAAATAGGTTGGTTCCTGAGTAGCAACCACGTAAAGTCCCCATGTGTAGGAAAATTGACTGACAATAGCCGCAAATAATGGTAATGAAGTCAATAAATCCTCGATTGGAAGCGAAGGCGCCTGAATTGGAAAAAGAAAAAAAACGATTAGTATTTACAGAACAATTAAATAATTTCAGAAAATAGAAAACAAAATATTATAATCATTACAATCGACTGAAGATAAAAATATTCCTATGGGAAGTAAACATTGAAAATAAACGATAATGAAACAAGATGTTATCAAATCTAATGATCGAGCGAAGTCTGTTTTGTAATTATTTATGAATCGCTATCATGGTTAGATTATTCGTAGCATGAAAAACATTTGTATAATAACAAAGAAAGAAGATGAAATTTCTATTAATCACTCATTGGTAAAGATATTTACACAATGGTAATATATTGAGAATAATGAAAATTATTCATTTCCTGAGAACTAATTCATAGCTTGGTTATTGTGAGACTACATAGAGACATCAACCGTGATTAAGATTAACAATTAGAGGAAATGTTGAGGATGTTTACATTTCCTGATTTCATCTAAATTGGGAAAAGTCATTCAATTACAATGACAATTGAATTAATGATAACATGAAATTATCCTTTCACAACACAACAAATTTAAGTTGATTATCAATGAGAAAGAGTATTCATTTTCAGATCAATTATCAGATTCTCATAAAGAAATCATTGATCTTTATTGATCAATATTTCTTTATGTTTAAAGTGCAATACACCAAAAGGCATCTCAAGAGCTGAAACAAAAAATATTTTATATTAAAACATATGGTTGATCTTTATTACATTTTTTAGTCCTAATCAACGGAAAATATTGAATTGTACTTTTACACTACAACAATAAACCAGTTTTTTAGCAGGTAAAATAAATTCACTTCCTGATATTTGTTCACAAATCAAGAAATCATTATTTAAACTTGAATTTCCCATGTCAATGGTTGCAACAAATGATACATTTAATGATCTTGAAATATTCAAGGGTAATGTAGTAGCAAAATTAAAATTTTAAATAATTAAGAGAAGTGAAAATCATCAAACTAGAAGCTGTTATCTGTAAGTTAATTCATAACAAATGAAACACAATTTATCCTGAATTTAAGCTGTTAATCTAGTGATAATTCAATAGACACCCATGAATTGTGACATTAATATGATTAAAACAGGGTAAACCTAATTGATTAGCTTTTCTTGTTTGAAGAGTATCAATGAATAATGATAATTATTGGACTGTTATATAGATTGTAAAATTGATTGGGATAAAAAATTAAACAACCAATTTCAATGAACAGTTAAGAGTGTAAAATGTGTTGATTTGAGATGGATAATTGACTGGATTTAGAGCCAATTACAGTTATATATACATGTAATGGTGACAATTGAACGGTTGGTTTGTTCAGATAATGTGAAAGTCATGAACAGTGAAAAGTAGATAACCAAGAAAATGTTTAAAAAGACTGACAACTTCAAGTGTTTGTCCAGTTTACCATGAATCACCTTTTTCAACATTGTTCACTTTCTCAGGTAACTACTAATGGAAATCAACTATCGATTATCATTTTGATGGTTTTGATTAAACTTGAATTTTTTAGCTTGAGATATCCATTTGATTCAGCTTTTCGGATTTATGAAGGTTAGTTTAAACTGTCAGTTGAATCAAAGTAAACAATAGATGTATTTGTGAAGAATCAGCTGAATGATTGAAGTAATTCAATAGATTATCTTATTAGTTCAGATTGTTTAATGATGATGCATTCAACTCTGGCTAAATATTTCAATTCTACTTCAGCTTTTCAAAAATCATCAGCTAACGAGATAACAAAAGAGGAACAAAAAGATGTAACTTTCTTCAGAATTAGATTTTACCAGGCAAACAATTAAATGGGTCAGGTAACTGAGCTAAGTAGACAGCTTAGCCTTCGAGCGGACCATTTTTTGTGTGCTTTCACTTTTCTGGCAATAATTGTTGATGTTTTGTGAATTTAAACAAAAAAAGATTAAGAGTTTGCACATATAGAACAATAAAATTACTGTAATAATAGCAAATAGAAAAGGGTTGACGTAAATGATCAAAAATCTGGATTTAAAATGGGATGAGAAGTACGAAAAATGAGAAAATTTAAAAATATAATGGATAAATGAAATCAGTTATTTGTAAAAAGTCTTTCAATTGCACTTTTTTTTCAATCACTCAATCATTTACTGAATATTTTAAATTTATAAATATTTACCTTTGAATCTTTAGTTTTAGCTCGTCCCAAATTAATTAAGGCAACTTCTCGTTCATTGATCCAAGGATGATCTTCAGGAGATTCATAGACTAGAGTTAACCATAAAATATACCAAATAACCCCTGAAGCCCCAAGGATATAATAAATGGCTGGCCAACCACCCAGAAAATCAGTTCCTGAAAGATAGCCAGCTAATGTACCAGAAAATACTATTCCAATAGGTCCACCAGAGTAGATAAATGAGCCAACAATGGATCGCTCTTTGATAGGAGCCCAACGTGCATACATTGAATGCATTGCTGGAAAGGTAACACCGAGACAAAGTCCTTGGAAAAGACGAACAATGAATGCTGCCGTAACTGACCATCGAGCAGCAAAAGGAAAAGCAAATGACAACATTGAAGCAGTAAAAACACCGGTTCCAAAAATATGTTTAGATCCAAAAATTTCTGCGATTCTACCTGCAGGTAACTGAGATGCTGTGTATCCGTAAAAGAAGGCTTGAAGTACTGTATTACGTGTGTCATGAGACCAATTGAGCTTATTACTGTTTGTATCATTTGAACTGGACATCAGGGTTGTTGTAAGGCCACTGGAAGAGGTGTTATTTGTGTCTGGATCAGACATGGCAACAATAGTTACACTAAGAATGTTTTTGATCCCATGGTTGAGTATAAAACCATAAAAGGAAATGGCAACAAACACGAAACGCCATTTTATTCTCGAGTTCGATCTGTTAGCCATTTTATGGAAACAATTAGGTTAAAATTATAATCTAAAATTATATTTGTCCAAAAATAGGTATGTTGAGAGACTAGATTGTAAAATTAGACAGCATAAATCTAGCGGATAGATCAGAGTGTAAAATGAAACCAATTTAACATTTGGCGATGAAATAAGTCAAATGAATTCCAATTATTATTTACTTTAAACACAAGTCCACGGTTGAATCAAAACAGGTGAATGTGGAATGGGAAAAACTTGATCAAGAAATAAATTTGGCAATCAAATAACGGAGACAGTAGTGTAATGGTGAGTACATTCAACAACCAAAACAAAGGCAACTTTCGGCTATGTGTCTGGAATATAGTGGCTTCAATTTTGGTTCCTTGTAGGCATAGATGATACAGATGTAAAAATAAAATCGTAATTCAATAACAGTGTAGTTTCCTGACAGGAGGGTACTTTGTGATGATGATGTTGAAATTCACTCCTTCAATAAAATTGTAATAGATGAAAATGATAAATAAAAATTACAAGTAAACCAATGGATGAAATAAGTGAGTTATAAGGTTTATATGCGATGTGAGTGAGTTGTGGTATTTTTCACAATCTTTGTCTCTCTCTCTTTTTCATTGTCAAATGTTGTAACGTTTTACCAATATGTTGATTGACTTAAATCGCACAGTAGTAGATGAAATACATCTAATGGGCAAATACATTTAAATTAAATCGATATCGAGTCTTTATGACAACACAACGTGACACATATGACAAGACAATTAAAAGTTGGTAACCTGAAGAGGTAATCAAACCATAAGAAGAGAGAATCAAGTTGACGATTTGATGATATTGTTGGTGATAATGTTGATATAATATAATGATGAATTCAGTGAGTAAAGGGACAAAATAGACAAGAAAAGAAATAAACTAAAAATTATAAGACATTAAGAAAGGGTATAGATAAAGTCCCATCAAGCTTGAGAACAAAAGGAAAACATGAAGAAAGTCTGTTGTGAGTCAAACATATGAAATCTGAAGCTATTCAATATGATCATGAATCAGTTGCTGAGAAAACAAGTTAACAATCTCAAGCAATTCAAGGAAAATCACTTTTCTTACTCTTACTACAGACTAACTTCAATGAGGTTCAAGAGCAGCATTATTGAAGGTAACAACAAGCAAACAGATTTTAGAGGGAGGTTATAAAGGAATATAGAAACACCCACAAAATTTGAGGGGTTGAATTTTAATTTAACTTTCGCCTTTCAGTGAACCTTAAAGATTTTGGAGCACAAACTGTGATTCAATTTTTTTTACATTTCAATACAATGAAACATGAAGATTTCACCAAAAACTCGTTATTTAAATCATTTGTGAATGATTTTCTCAATGTTTTTATATTATTATACGTTTACTTTTTAGGTTATCTGATCGAAAATTGGTTGATACAGGAATTAATAAAGATCTATGGATTGAGAGGAGTACTTTTCCATTAAAGTATACACAGCCACGAAGATTGAGTTCCAAACATTGGTTTTTGATTGTTTTTAGTTTGTCTTTAGTTTGCTAACCGAAAGTTCTTGAGAGAACTAATTGTTCATAAAACATAATAAATTTTATTCGAATGACCTGACCTGTGGTACTTCCCTTGTACGTAAAAATCATAAAGCATCACAAATTATAAGGCAGTTTATTATCAAAAAATAATATCATTTAATCAATTGTATTTTATAATTAGATGTTTTGTTATGATCTAATGGCTTGTACCAGATTAAAAATTTATATTGTGTAACTATTTTCATAGATATTAATCGATTTAGAATTGAAAAGAAGGACTTTTTATGGACTTGAAGAGACTTTAGTATAAAAAATATTGATAACCATTAACTACACTCCAATTTCTTGATAACAGAAATAAAGACAATGAATAGATTCACCGAAGACCCATGATTCTGGTTAGCTGATTAAATTTCAATCAGAAAAATATTAATATCATACAACTACAGCAATCATAACTATTTGCAGAATATTACAAGATCAACTGGATCAGGAATAGTCCATATTGTCGACTATGCTATGATGAACTCAGATCAATCAAAATAGGACAGTTTTCCAGCTTAGCATTACTCAATGATTTGTTGGATGATAATTTAGTATGATCATGTATTACCCGCCAGAGTTGATAAAGTACAGTCTCTCAATGGATTTTCGCTTGCTTGTATGCATATTAAGCCTTTCGAGCCTTCCACTCTACTGTTCAAATTTGTTTTAGCATCGAGATAAGTTGTGGTACCCAAATAATTACATGGTGAATAACGAAAGCCACAACCAGGAAATAAGCTGGCTGTGTAAATAACCAGACAGTAAAAATGTGAACAGCTAGGAGTACCAAGACAACCGGGTTGCTCGATATACGAATAAGGCAAATTGACTAAATACTTTGTGTTACCAGTTGCATTGAAGGAACCGAAACGAAGAGTTAAGGCCTGTAACTCTGTTATTAAGGGAATCTCAAAATTGAAAGTACATTGAACCATATCAACAGCTTTAGCCAGACCAGGTTTTAACTGTTTATCGACAAAGTTACTTGAGAAGTAAAATGGCGGCCCTGATGGATCTAAACCTGCAAAGTTAAAAATTTGTATTAATGAAAAGACTCAAGCAAATAATTCAAACAATTCTAGGGAAATGATTACTATTCAGCTTATTATGCTTATAATTATTTACCGACTAAATGACCCAGTGTAATGTCATATCTTTCTTTAAGCCAAGTGGATATAAAATATAACATGTTACCACCAGCTGAAAAGCCAACGACTCTAATACCATCTGGATCAATACAAGGAGAATCTTTATCAATGACTAGTTTTTTAGCAATTAGATTAGCGGTTACACGACCCACAACTTGTACATCAGCATGCATGACAAAAAAATTTGCCGCAGGAATAGGAAAACCAAAGGCAACCACTGGATCAGCTGGATATCTCCAATCAACAAGAATTACATGGTCAAAAGTTTTAAGCAACACTACGGCGGGAAGAAGGTAAAGTTGATCAGTAGATTGTGATAGATAACCATGGATTACAAAGGCAACCTTTTCTCCACATTTAATACGCGATAAATCCTGGGTTAACCGAGTTGGAGATGATCGAGAGAGAAGATAAAATTGGATTCCCATATTGTCCGGAGGCTCTGGACACACCGAGTAAAAGGGTAAACTGAAATAACGTGATAAATCCCATGGAGGGAAACATCCTATATCTGCTTCAGGGTAACACACTTCTTCTAAACATGGAATAAACACTCTTGGATTAAACACCTGGTCAAGTGTCAAGGGCTGATTGAAGACAGGCCTAACCAGAGTCAATATGATACCAATGAGAGTTACGAGTTTACTTTTTGTCAAATATTGACCCGCGAGAAACAAAAATGACAATTGACTAGACATGTTAGTGATTTGAAGCAACTCAGTTGATTGATCATAATTTCCAATGAATTTTTCTTCAAGCCAAGATTATCGAAATCAGCACAAGTAATTCAAGTTATGCATTAATAATTATTACCATTACTCATTCAAATGACCCTTATTGAATATATTAATATTTAAATCAGACTATGATTGTATAAACTCGAAACCTGGGTAATTTGACTTATTTAGATAACGAATAGCAAAGATTTTAGTGTAAGATTATTATAATTAGAGCTTATTACTGTTCCAATTAGTTACATTTATGTATGAACTTTTATTGAGGATGAACTGGAAAGATCATCAGAAATTCATCTAAATGTTATCATTTGCCTTTATCTACTAAATATTAAAATAATACCAAAATATTTCACCGATTGAAGAGTCCTGCTTAATCATGTTTATTTTGATCTTACATGTGTATTTATGTCTTTCATGTCTTTACTATCGTTTTGATAGTGAAAAAAGGATGCTAAAGTCCAATGTAAATGCAGTGGAATTTTTTCGCATCAGGAAATGAGAGCTAAAATAATAATATATCTCAATTGAAGCAAATTAGACTATTCAATAAGTTTAATCTTAAGTAATACAAAAATAAAAGCTAATCATCGATTTGTATCAGCCTGATTGACTTGAATAGTTTGTATAGTCAAGTATTAATGATCTACTGGTACTATTGGGTATCTTATCAACGTCACAAACAAATTAATTATTAAGCATCTTTTTAGCAGGCTCAGTATATTAATTAGACATGATTAAATTTGAATTACGATACCCTTAAATTAAGCACTACACCGGAAAGGTTAATGCTTTATTAGCATACAAAAATTTGGTAAGGTTGTACTAGAGGCTGTCAGCTCGATATTCAACGTATTTATTATTTTTGGACTTTTGATGAAAATTTATAAAATACTTTTAATGTCTGTAATTTATAATTTTCATTGTCCATAAATAAATTAAAAATTATATAATTTTGGTAAATGTTACATCTGAATGCAAACCGTAATTAACTGATGGGCCCTCAACTGGTAGATTTTGTTTGAGTTTTATAAACCCGCGTTTTGTTTGTTCTTAACTTATATAGTATACTTTTACTTGAAATAATCATGGTTCAATGTGTAAACGATAAAGACACTGAAGAGTCCAAAAATATGTCAGATGAAGACAGTGACGAAGATGATGCTGATTATCAGGATGAAGGGATGGACGACAATGAAACTGATGGCAGTGAGGACAGTGATGTTAGTGATGGTGATGACGATGATTCAAGTAGCGACGATGATGAAGACGATGTCTCTGATGAAAAAAAGTTGGAGGAAGCTAAGGCAATCCAAGATCACCTTCTTGACAACCCATTCGATTATGATCAACATCTAAAGCTCATTGAAATTGCTGGAGAGATCGGTGACTTACACATGATTAATAAAGCTCGAGAAAACATGTCGTCTATATTTCCATTAACACCTACTCTTTGGCTTGATTGGATTTCGACAGAAAAAAAGCTGGCAACAGATGAGGAAGATTATCAGCGCATTATTGAGCTTTTTGAACGAGCCTTAAAAGATTATGTTTCTGTCAAATTATGGCTGGAGTATATCTATTTTGTTGTAATGATTCCCGGTGAAACGAGCCATGTTTTTTCAGTTCGCAAAATCTGCGAAAGAGCTATAAATTCAGTTGGACTGCATGTAACCGAAGGGTCATCCGTGTGGATTGCTTACAGAACCTTTGAGTCTGGAATAATCGAACTAATCGATCAAAAAGAATTGGTTAATCAATATAAAAAGATTTTTGACCTGTACAAAAGACAATTAGCCATCCCGTTGATAGGTATGGAGGAGACCAAACAAGAGTTTCACGTTTGGTACGAAAAAGCAAAGACTCAATGCCCAGGCTTGGATGTTGATCCAGAATCCATCAACTATGGTTACGAACAAGCTTCGTTATTGTTGAAAAAACTTGATGAATTTGAGCAAGAAATAATTGCATCAGAACCACCGCATTATGAAGCTTATTTAAAATACATCGAGTATGAAGAAGCGAATGGATCTCCACCACGTGTACAATGTATCTATGAGCGAGCTTTGATCGAAAATTGCTTACAACCAAAGTTATGGATTGATTATGCTCAATATTTGGATAAAAAAGTTCAGGATTTAGATTTGATAAAACCAATTTACGAAAGAGCTGTGCGTAACTGTCCTTGGACTGTAAATATTTGGATAAACTATCTTCGTTCTTTGGAAAGAAACAAAGCTGACCACGAAACAATTAAAAGTGTATTTGAAAAATCCTTAGAAACAACTTTTCAAAGTAGTAGTGACTATCTTGACTTGTGGTTAACGTATCTTGATTATCTGAGGAGACGGACTGATTGGAATGACAAAAATCAAATAGAACAGTTGAGAAAGAACTTTGCTGCCGCAGTTGAAAGTCTCGCCAAAATTGGTGGTGATGATTCCTGTTCTATCCCTCTCTACATGGCAAAGATTGAAGCCAAGTATATTAAAAACATGGGAGAAGCGAGAAGGATTTGGAATGAACTTTTTCAATCAAGAAAAGATCTCACTGCAATCGATTCAACATGGATCGAATATGCCAATTTTGAAAAGCTTTATGGAGATGATGCTCATTTCAAAAAAGCTCTCATTAGAGGACTTAACTCTAATGTGAATTACCCAGAAACTCTCGGGGCTCTTCTGATAAAGCATATTCGGGAAGAGAGCGTGTCAATTGCTGAGTTTGATGAAATTATGGAACAATATGAAAAGGCTATGACCAAAGTAACAAAGAAGCGAGAGGAATTAACCAAAAAGATGGAAGAAGAAAAATCAGCAAAGGCAAAACTAAAGACCGGTAAATTTGATAAAAGCAAAGGATCAGCTTCACAAAATGTGATTGAGGGTGAATTCAAAATTCCTGAACCACCTGGTAAATCAAGTAATGAAGAATATAAAAACAAATTTAAAAAGTCGGCTAATGCAGTCAAAGATGAAAAAGTATTGGCTGAAATGCAGCGACAAGCGAGTTATAAAGAGAAAGGAGATGACGAACGAAAATTGAACACTATTGTTGTCAAGAATTTAGCTTATTCAGTTTATGAAGATAAGCTTAGAGAAAATTTTTCCAAATTTGGTGAAATAGTTGACATTCGATTGGTCCGTAATTACAAAGGGCAATCTGCTGGTTATGGTTTTATTGAATTTGCACAAATCAAATCAGTTAAAGAAGCTTTAAAACATGATCGTCTTAAAATTGATGGCCGAGAATGCTACATCGATGAAATGGGTAAAAAGTATAATTTCAAATTTAGCTTATCAAGAGAAAACAATAAATTGTTCGTCAGCAATTTAGACAAGCGTGTTACAAATGAACAACTCACTAGCATATTTGAGAAATATGGTAACCTTAAGGACGTTCGAATTGCAACCCTTCGTAATGGTAAATCAAAGGGTTATGCTTACATTGAGTACAAGAGTGAAGTAGAAGCCAATGATGCTCTTAAAGCAAATGGAATGTTGGTTCTCGATAAGACAATCAAAGTTCAAATTAGTGATCCATCAGCCAAGAAGTCAGATTCATTTCTTGGCTCTGGATTGATGCAACATTCAGCATCAAATATCTCAGCCAAGCGACGAATCAATGTTCCGCTGATTCCCCTTTCTGTCCGAAAAAAGCTCAAGGTAGAAGAATCTGACTCATCTGCGACTGCATCGACATCCACTTCTTCATCACTGTCTCAAAGTAACAGTAATGCCCAAAAGGACACAATGGATACTTCATTGCCCTCCACTTCAAAAGTTTAAACTGTAAATTTTTCTTGTTCCTCATTATTTCTTTTTAAAGAAACAATTATGAAAACTTAAAAATAAGTCTATACTAATAATTTATAAATTATTAAAATTATATTTTATTTCTATTTGTATCTGTGTTGAACGATTTCTCTCAGATCTTTTCAGATATTTCCTTAGACAAACCTAGAACTATAATCGCGAATTGACAACTGCGACCAATTTTAACGACAAAAGGCTTGAGGAATCATAGATTTTGAACAAAAAATTAAACATTTCAGGATAAAGCAACTTTAGAATTGAAATCTGTGCCACAGATTCTGTTGCTATGAGAAGATAGAACTATAGCCACCAGATGCCAGTTTGCGCATTCAGTTTGTTTTCGTTTTCAATGTTATTGAATCAATAAATTTCTTTGCTTAACAAATTGTAATCATGTCTCAACCATCGGTCAGAATTTTAAAATCTTTCAATAAATTCTCCGTCATTAAACGAGGCTTTCACAGATCATTACCCCTTTTTGAACAACCAAATATCCGATGGATTGCTGGCTCTAATAAAGCGCCTAGCTATAGAAAGTTTGATATGACCAAGAAGGAAGAAGGTAAGATGCAAATTTCAATGTTTTTATTCAGGCTGATTCTAATTTCTTTTTCTTTTCTTTTCCATCATTTTATCAATTTTTATTCAAAACATATCTCAGAGCTGGAACCTGAATATATTAAAAATGATACCTATAGATACAGACTTCTCTTGGCTGTGCTTTTCTTCTTCATGGCTAAATCATACTGGAGGTTTTCTGATTTCAAATTTATCAGAACTGAGGTGGAATTGACTGAATTCCTTCAAGCAGAACAAGCTCGTTTGAATCAACATTGAGTAAATATCTTTAGTCGTTTCATTGCAAAAGGACAAATAAAAGGATGTTTATAAAATCTATTTGCTCTTCAATGTTAAAAAATAGGATTAATCCACTTTAAATTGAATGTACAAAAACGTTAAATTACTATCAAATAAATGAATTTTAGCTGCTATGAATTTCTGTGAACATATTATCACTATTAAATCATTAAAGAGTTTGAAAAAAATGGGAAAAATTAATCTTGAGTTATCCTGATATTCACAAGAGTGAAATGCGTTCCAAATAACAACCAGCAGAATATTTGTATTGCCTCGAGGAACCATAGGTAAAAAAATTAGTACGAGTTGTGAATTTGATCTTTTTACAAGACAATTTGTCTTACAATTTGTTAAACATTATGACTTTCAGAATGAAAGTCGATTGAAAAGCCGATTGAATTGATTGTTACCGCACGCGCTAGAGGGCGACTTATTAGATTTATGCAACATTCAAAATTTTATTTCTTATTCAACAATTTGTATGTTTTTATTTATAACTTGTATTTTTGTTTATTCACAATTCTTAATTAAGATTTTTTCAGGTGAGTTCTATATCTGTTGATTGTTACTTCAAATATTGATAAAATAAATGATATTAATTGAAAACTCATTCCTTCTAGATTATCGCTAGCAAAATGGCTCATTCAAAATCAGCTGACTTTGGTCGATGGGAACAGCACACTAAAGGTATTGGATCGAAATTATTAATGAAAATGGGCTACAAACTTGGTGATGGATTGGGTAAACACGGCCAAGGTATAAAGACGCCTATTATTCCTGGACAAAAATCAAAACTTTCAACTCCAATCGTTGAACCAGAGGTTGAGAAGAAAGATGATAGCCTTAAACGGTCTTTACACGCAAAAAAGAAAAAAATCCATTCCCTCAAGTTAAGAGAGCAGCGATTGATGGATAGAATTAAAAGCAAAAAAGAGTCTGGAGAATTGCTCAAAAAAAATCTTGCTCGAGTTTTAAACATCTATCATAATGCTAGTGTATGTGTAAAATCCTGGAAGCCATTGGAAAATCCTGATGCACCATTCGGATCCTTCAAGGAATATCGTACAGTTCTTTTGTCACTCGATATAAAATATTATGACATTCTTATGTGGGATATATGGCTTCCTATCGTAGAAAGTGCAATTTCTGATTTACCATCAATAAGAACGTTTGATCCTGTTATAAATTTATTAGAAACTTGGAAGGCATTATTACAGGATTGGCTGCTAGAATATATTCTTAACCAATTGGTTGGCACCCGGTTAAAAGATGAAATAATTCGATGGGATCCACTAAATGATCCTGTTCCAATTCATTTTTGGATACATCCTTGGCTTCCATTGATGGCTGATAAGTTAGAACCTATTTTTGCTCCATTAAGACAAAAGTTGGCAGCTGCACTAGTACAATGGCACCCTAAAGATCGCTCAGCTAAAATGATTTTGAAACCTTGGAAGTATGTGTTTCTGGAGGATATTTGGTCAACATTCTTGCTTAACAATATTGTACCAAAATTAGAAGTTATTTTACAAAGCTTGGTGATTAATCCGCATCAGCAAATTTTAGACCTTTGGAACTGGTTCATTGACTGGGAAGATATGTTACCGATTGAAATAACTGTAGACCTTTTAGTTCGAATTTTTTTCCCCAAATGGTTACATATTTTATATGAATGGTTAAGATGCTCACCTAACTACGATGAAGTTTCTCGTTGGTATCTAGGATGGAAAACGATGTTCTCGGATAACCTTCGAAACCAAATAGCTATTCAAAAAGCATTCAAAAAAGCTCTAGAAATGATGAACCATGCAGTTACAGACCCTGGTGGAATACTGACCTATCAACATAATCTCGACTTTGATCAACCAAATGCAACAAATGTGCCAACTCCAGTCCAAACACTGGAATACAAATTATATTTAACATTCGAAGAACTAATAGATTTAAAAGCAACAGAGCTAGCTGTTCCATTTACTCAATTCCCAAACAGTTCTTATGATAACAAGTCTGTCTATAAATTTGGAAAATTTTCGATTTATTTCGAAAATGATGTGATATATTGCAAGAATAATGATTCTTGGAATCCCATTTCATTGGAAGATTTATGTAATCGTGTAATTAATTGTATATAAAGATAAATTACTCATCTCATTGCAATGAAACACTTCAAACACTTTTGTTAACCCTAAGTCTTGATAAGATTTGTTTCACAGATATGAACAATCAATTGATAGTTATGAATTTTTTCGTGGAAAAGATTTACCGATACCAGCTAACTGTGTTTTACTATATAACCTCCAATCTAACTATTACTAATAGACTTTCTCTCCAATTCAACAATAATTGGAGTAAAAGACAATAGCTTTTCATTCTTCGATATGGCATGTAAATTGTGCTCAGTTGATAGTGTGCACAAAATATTCGTATAAATATAAAAATATTGATTAGCTTTCAATTTTGAGTCATGATTAACCTATGGATAGTGAAATTCATCTGCCTAATTTGCTCAATAACTGTGTCTCAGACAGATTTAGTCGAAGGTTACCGGAAACAGTCAACAGTATTTTTGGGAGGAACCATCATTTGCTCTCCTAACAACATGATGTACATGTAAATGTTTTCCTAAAGCTAACCTTTTTTATGATTTGTTGTTCCCTCTCGTCAAAACAACATCTTCAAGTTTATGTCATCAATATTTCATTATTATTTCCCTTATTATTTTCATCATCAGCACAAGTATCAACATCAACAAAAACATCAATAAGATCATCAACATCATCATCATCATGGCAATAGTAAAAGCGACAGTAATAATGAGATGATATAAACAATCTTCTATATTTTCTATTTCTTCATTATTTTTTTTTCTTTGACCATTTAGTCATGTTTTAATTAACAATTCAAAAGCTTGTTTTTATTTTTCTCTTGATTTTGTGATACCCCGGGTGAAACCGGTCCATAGTTTCTACTAAAACTTAAAGGGTGTGTTTTCTGGTATCCATCTACAATCATTCCCTAAAATTTACGAATTCTTAATATTTTGGCTACATTGTTAGTGTGTATCATCTCTGCTGTCTATAATTATCAAAAGCTTTACAACCACTGTTGATGTAAAGGCTATTTGTTTGCTGTTTTGATTATCTTCTCCAGTATAATATCAATACAACTTCTACTTGAATCAACCTTACTCACATGACCTCTGTTTAGCTGTTCATATAATCTTAATTAGAGTTGGGCGATATTATCGAAATCGATGATATATATCGATATTTTTACAAAAAATATCATCGATAAACTGAAAAAAATATCGATATGATTTAAGACATTTAAAAGATGCTAATTAGCTGCATTTTTGTGTAAATTTCGGAAAATTTTTGAATGACCATAACATTGCATTTTTATATCTCTGCATTCGCTCAAGAAAAGGCTCTTTTCAATGCAAAAGATATAATCTAAGACATTGAAAAGCTCATCTAATGACAACTTTAAAGTCTTTTCAGAGTTCATTATGAGATTATTCATTCAGTAATTGTTTTTTGTTTAGTTTTCATAAAATATCGATAATATCGATAATATCAATATCGCAAAATTTCATATCGATATTTACGATGATATTATTTTTCAATATCGCCCATCTCTAATCTTAATAGATCAAGCTTCAGCCTATCTAGAAATCTTGGAAGACCGAATATGACGGAAGATCAAGTATCGTTAAGCGAGGATGAAGGCCTGAATCCAAATGAGAATGTGACTTACCAAGGAACGCTGAACAAGTGGACTAACTATATTCATGGATGGCAAGAGCGATTTATTGTACTCAAAGATGGAACCTTGACTTATTTTAAATCTGAAAATGAAACCAATTTTGGTTTCAGAGGAGCTATGTGTGTTAATAAATGCAATGTTAAGGTAAACAACTGAAAATTTAACTTTTATTATTATCACCATCGTGCTATAGTGTTATTCATTGCTAATATTATTCTTTATATTTTTCTTGGCAGCTACACGAATTTGACGAATGTCGATTTGACGTTAGCCTTGGTGACAATGTTTGGTATTTAAGAGCTGATACAGCTGATGAAAGGAATAGATGGGTGGAAGCAATAGAAGCTCAAAAGGTTTGTTCATTAGGCGCTCTATTCCATTTCACTAATATGAATTCAGTTTATTTCCAATAATTGAACTAATCTTTATCATCTTGATTTTTTCGTTCCATTACTGGCTGCTCATATATAATTAGCAAACCGATTCTGCTTATGGAAGTGACAACAGTCTACGACGCCATGGATCAGCTCTTTCTCTTGGCTCGATAAGTGTCACATCATTCAAACGAGGAAAATGTTTGAAAGAAAAAATGAGTGAATTGGAGACTTTCCGAGATATACTCACTCGTCAGGTACATCATAACTTTCGTGATCATCAACAATAATCCATATTTCCTATCCTTTTCGAAAACAATTTTACTTCAGTCAAACCAAATGAATGAATATTATTGTATCTTCTGCAAAATAATCACCATAATCCCTCCTTTTCCACCAAAAACAACTGAAAGCTAATTGTTTGTTTTATTTCATTTATCATGTTTACATATTTCAAATCCTCATTCTTTATGCAGGTTGATCTTTTACAAGGTTATTTTGATGCCTGTGCTAACAACCCTACATCCATTATTGATTCAAATGGTACGTTATTTAATTTTTAATTGGTCTATCTCCTTTAAAATTGTTTAACTATAAATTCTATGTTTATTTCGATGTTTGACATGAAAGATATTACTGATTTCTAATAATAATTTGATAATCAGAAACTGTAATCTCTTCACTTTGAAGTTGTTTCTAATACAGTGGATATACTTGCTAGTAACTAATATTTCCGTTAATCTTTGAAATCTTCTTAATGATAAATATTGGTTGGGAAACATATTTCCCCTTTATATATTTAATGAGTTGTTTATTTGACGATTTCATTGAAAACAGTGCAATACACAATTCCTATGTTTGATGTTACATGATTTTTGTTTTATTACACTTAAACCTTTGAAATGTTCAGTTGTTGTAAAACTCAAAGTGACAAAAAATATATAGATTTGTTAAAAAATTGTTTCACATTAAGCTGCTTCCAAAAAAATAGACGTTAGTACTAAATATAATTAAGTGATTTAAGTTCATTTGATTGTGTTACAATCAACTTGTCTTACAATTTTTAAACTTCACATTTGATTTCTCTTTCAGATGCTGCTAAAGATGCCAATTCTCCTAAAACGAATGAAGCCTTGGAACCATTAAATTCAAACAAAACTGGAAACACCGAAAATGGTATTTTCACAAAAAAATTATAAATCTCAAATTCTGTCAAACTTTATTAATCGTTTTTCATTTCTAGATGGTGAAAAAAATGCAAACCAAGAAGTAGTACAGATGTCTTTGGACTTCAAGGGTGAAACCTTCACAACTTTATCTCTTACAATTAAAGCAACCACAACAGGAATCTTGGCAACTTTATCACATTGTATGGATTTGATGCAACAAAGAGAAGAGAATTGGAAGAAAAAATGGGAAACAGAAGTTGAAAAAAGGAAAAGGCTTGAAGAAATCGTTAAAAGTTTACAAGAAACGTCCAGTGAAGCTCAAAAGATGATGATCTTGAATGATCCTGATTATGAAGAAGGCCCACATTCCAAAATAAAGGAAGAGGAATTTTTCGACGCTGTTGATGCCATGTTAGATCGTAAAGATCAACAAGAGGAAGAGAAGAGACAGTTAAAATTGAGAGTGAAAGAAATTGGTGAACCATCATCATCTTTACCAGAGGTCTGTGATCATCCTTTATGGTTTGAAATTGACAAAACAACATTAGAACAACTGAAACAAGCGCGATTAGAGGTGGGCGAAGGTGATGGAGAATCTGGTAGCTGGGAGCTTTTTGCCGCAGAAGGTGACATGAGACTTTATAAGAGAGATCTGGTCGTTGACGGACTTGTTTGTGATCCATTAAAAGCTGTACATACTGTTCGTGGTATTACCGGTCATGAAGTATGTTACCACTTTTTCAGTCCTGACGTTCGATGGGACTGGGAAAATACTCTAGAATCAATGAAGGTTGTCGAAGAAATTAATCCAAACACTTTAGTATTTCATCAAATTCACAAACGTGTTTGGCCTGCAGCTCAAAGAGATGCAGTGTTTTGGTCACACATTCGTAAACTTAATCCAAGTCAACTTTCACCTTCACCAGCATCAACATTATCATCATCTTCATCTACATCATCAACCTTTACATTACCCTCACCTTCATCAAGTGAGAAAAGAGATCCTGATGACATTTGGATTGTATGCAATAATTCAACAGATCGAAGTGACATTCCTGTAAGTTCTCTATTTATTTTATTTTATCAGTTTCAGCTAATCTTATTTATTTATCTTGACTCAACAGCTCGGTAGATGTGTCAGAATGAAAATGACAGTGAGCTTAACATGTGAAACTTTCATTGAAACACCCAAAGAAGGCCAGCAAATTAATAGAGATAATTTAGTCTGTAAAATAATTTATTGTTCGACGAGTAAGTATATTTTATTTCTTTCTATTTCTGAAATTAATTTTATCCAATCATATTAAATTTTATTTTGCTTTATTCTAATTAGTTAACCCCGGAGGATGGGCTCCAGCATCAGTTTTACGAGCTCTTTATAAACGTGAATATCCAAAATTTTTGAAAAATTTCACTCAATACGTGATTGATGCCCGTAAAGAAAAGCCAATAATGTTTTAAAATTTAATTTATTAATGAAAAATGTTGGTTTAAAAAAAGATATCTTTAATATTGCTATTAATCAAACCATTCGATAATTTGTAAATATCTAAAAAAAATCTTATGCCAGCTTGAATTTTGTTTAAAATAACCTCATTCTCTCTAAAATTTTAAATCTATTTCTGTCAAATTGTAGCTATAATAGTTCTTGACATTACTTGAGGAAAGTTTATCTTCAAACCAAGTTTATTATTTTATTCATTGTTCAATCAATTGGCCCGAGAAATAATTAAAATGGATATTATTTCGTTATTTGGGCTAACTGGTTCTTTTGCAAAGCACTGTATGATAAATGTATTTGAAATGCATATACATAAATGAGAAATATGAAACGTCCACAAATCTAAAAGAAAAGTTAATTTATTTCAACAATATGCACAAATTGATGGATAAATGTTGGCATCTCGTTGTTTGAGGTATTAAATGACGATAATGAAATTTAAAACAAGCTTACATTGATATCTATTGATCTTTAAACTAAATTTCAGTAAAATGAATTTATCAATTGTTAAAATTGCATATCATCTTTTTCAATTTAATAAAAATATTCAAATTTTAAGTTAATCAAATCGGTCGCGAAAATTTATAACCAACACTAACCTATGGATATGCATTAATGCCTTTGGTATCCAATTTATTATTAATAATATTGAACCAAAATCTGAATAAAATTTGCCAAAGGCTCTTAATAAAGCGCTATTGTTCATTTAGAACATCTTTTATTATGTGATATTTTTCATTAACATTGCTTAACTTTTCTCCAGATTGTACAATGAATTCTCGGCAGCATTTCAATTAAAACATGGACTCTGAATGGCAAGGTTTAAAGGCTCTTTTAACCTGAATTAAAAGAGGCTGACAGAAGAAGAAGAAAAAGAAAAGATGAGGAAGAAAATGAAGTAAGAAAGGTACAAGAAGTTTATTGAGCAGCAGCTTCCTCAGGGTAAGGTCCTGCTAAGATATTCTTGACGAACGCTGAACAAAAAAGAAAACAAAATCAAATTAAAAAAAGGTAAAAATCTAATTGAATCAAGTTAACTAATGGATCAACAAATCTTACTTTCATATTTCATATAACCATCTTCATCAGTAGTACCACCACAAGCCTTGATGATCTCTTCAACTTCAGCGTTTTCCAACTTTTCACCTGTAAGAGTTTGGGTGAAAATTAGATTGCTTCGGATGCTAATAATAATGAAACTTACCAAGAGATAAGAGAGTGTGGGCCATTTCAGCTTCCATCATGGTTCCATTTTCATTTTTATCGTAAACCTTAAGACCCTCTACCAAATCCTCATAGGCACCAACATCTTTGTTTTTCTTCAACTCACTGTAAATTGGTAGGAACTCTTCAAGAGTCAATAATTTTTCACCCTTCTTCTTGGTTCCTCCGGCCTTCTCGATGGCAGCGTTGGTGGGTCGAAGATCTAAAGATCTAATAAGATCACCTAATCTTACAGCATCTACTTTGTTGATTCCTTCAAAATCGTAGATACCGAAATGTAATTTTGCTTCTGTAAAATTGAAAATTAAAAGCAAGAAAAAAAACAATTAGTGAAGGCTTTTTGTCTTATTTTGTATTCAAGTGTAAGTGTTTGCTTTGATCACCTAATAAGGTTCATTGAGAAAGTAAAATTTAGCAGCTAAGCCAAAAAAATGGTGTAACTGTTGGCAAGTTGCCATAATAGCATTAAAAAAGGACTCCTTTCAGCTGCCAAGAGCTAAATATTTGGGTAAATTTTTCAGCTTCCAATGCTTATTTTCATTGCAATTTCAACTCGTCTCAATGATTTTGCATTGTTAATCCTATCAATATAAATTTTACAACTCATTTCCGAACTAAATTTAACATTTCAACAACAATTGGTTTAGCTATATCACTTTAAAGTGCTTAAAACAAAGTACTTTAATTTGTTATTAAAAAGCTGTTGCTTGTAAGAAAGTTATGCTAAGCAAAATAACTACATTGATCAGAATCTGTTCACTACTAAAATTGTAATCCTTATGTTAATTCATGTTATTTGACTCACTATTTGAGTATCTGAAATAGTTAATTGAATATCAAAACTTACTTTCAACTTCTGCGGGCTTAAGGTCGGCCTAAACCGTTGGATTCCGATGAAACCAAGAGTAGTCATTTTGGTAAAAGGGACAATCGAAGAGAGAAAGAGAAAAAGGAAACAGAATCACAATTAAAATGGGTTTATAAATCCAAATTGTTAAACTATCCAGCTATCTAGTTAAACTCACCATTGTAATTGTTGTAGGTTAACAAACAAAAGTAAAAACAACAGAAACTAAGAAGGTAAAGATTTAGATGGAAGACCTGGACTGGGCGAAAAAAGATGTTCAACTGAAACTTTTGATTGTTGAAAGTGGTGCAAAAATGTCGTCAAAAGGCGATGCAAAAAAGTCAGAAGGAAAGAGCACAGTGAATGTTAACGAATGGTGGGGATGATGCGCGGTGCGATTTGGATTGTAACTAGAAATGTTGAGCAAAGGACGTAAAAATAGTTTTCAATTACAAACTAGGATGGAAGTAGGTTGATGATGAAGCCACAATTAGGCGAGGTTAAAAATACAAGCTTAATAACGATGAGGATGGAGATGGAGATGATCAAGAAGGAAGTTTGGATGGAAAGCAAAAGACACTTTAAAAGATGATAGGAATAAATCCAGCCTTTGGTGAGATGGAAGAAACATTTCAATGCTATTTCTGGTTATGATTAAAGGGAAACACTCAAATCTTTTCTAGGTTGCAGGATAGATTAAATTTTTCTAATTCTTCACCATGTTCTGTGTTTATTGTTGCCTGTTATCATCATTTGCTGATCATGGTTGATCTGAAATTTATTAATCAATTAGAGAAGTTTGGTTCCAATGGTGATTTAACAGGATTTCATTATTCCGAGTCAATCAGTACAATCTGTATCCTGGACTTAATGGTTTCTTTAGATTTGTAAAATATTTCATTCTGTACAGTTGGGATTCAGCCAGATGATTTTGGTCTCATTTCAATCATCAATTGTTCAGACAAAAATCAGTCTGGCTATGCATTTAGTAATCTTACATTTAATAAAAGACTAATCAAACATTTAATTTTTTTCTCTGGATTTATTCAAAGGGTCAATACAATTATAACAATTTGCATGAGATTTTGAGTCAAAGAGTTTTTTTATGCAAAATAGACAATATACATGTAATATGTAATTTATCAATCTTTGTATATAATACATTAAAGCTTATCAGGGAAGCAGAGATCTGAGAAAATTTAATACAGTAACAAATCTATAAATGGTTTATAAATAATCAAATTTTCCAAAATTTTCTTTGGTTATTAAGTGAATTGCATATTATTTAAACGCATTGTTGATTCAATTTTGAGCAATTATGAAATGTGTGGGACGACGGTTGAACAGTTTTGGCAAAATTTTAGGATCAATATATTGAGGTCCTTTGAATAAATACGTTGGGTCCTTTATAAAAAACACAGGAGTTTTATTGTTGATGAGCTTCAGCCTTCTGCGCTTTCAATAAACGAAACGTATTCTCGTAAGCTAATAATGTTATTGAAGTTTGGGGCACAACTCTTAGCAAGCTCGGTGTCAAACCTTTGTAAAATCCTCTGGCTCCTTCACTCCTGGTAAAAGAAAATAAATGTTTACTATAATTTTGAAGACATTGGACGGATTATAAAGAATTTTTATGGAAATACTGACCTCCAAGTTTTGACTATCACATCACGGACTCCTGTAAATACAGAATGTTGATCTTGGAGTCGAGCTCTCACTACTTGATATGGGAACGTTAGCGAAGCAGCAACAAATTTACTCAATGCTGCACACATGACATATTCATGATTATCCAGTTTAGTTTCGAATGGAACATTGCGTCGTTCAATGATATTTTTCTTGAGCTCTTCATAAGCCATGAATTGCAAAGAACCATGTGTAACACCAAATAAACCAGGAACTACTCCTTTGTACATTCCTTTGATTCCTTCATATTTAATAATTTTATAGAATGCATCGCGTGTACCAGAATAAACTTTATGGCTAGGTAACGAATTTAATAATTGACTTTGACTACTATATTGAAGACATAATCGTGTTTTAACAACCCATAAAGGATTTGTTAAAATTACAGTAAGAACACCAGCTTGACCGGCTGCCATCAAATGCAACCAAGGCGTTAATTCTTTTCTTTCCATCATCAAGTAGTCTTTAATACAATTGTAGCTGGACAAGAAAAATATTTTTTAATAAGGGCAGAAGATAGATTATGAGTACTAAACTTACAAAAGGAAATAAAGTCCCCAAGATACACCAGCACCCATAAGATTTGGAACAGTTCCTCTGTAAAAACCATTGATACCTTCCTGTTTGAAAATTGTTTTGATTCCTTCACGGAGGTTTTGATAATGTGGCCTGAAAGATACACGTCCATCATTGACTTTTAAGAAAATAGGAATTCAACAATGAGTTCATCAGGTGATTTTTTGAAGTAAAAGTTTCAGTAAATAAAAGCAAAACATACCAGCAAATCTTATTTTAAGAAGATCCAAAGGATGAAGGATTAGGGTTGCTAAAACACCACCGGTAACACCGGCAATAAGTGATTCGAATTTGAGATTACCAACAACAGCTAAAACTTTGGAGCTGTATTTATTCACTGTGACAGCATGTGTCTGATGATTAGAAATTGGATCTGATGTTAGTGTTGACGATGTTGATGATGAATGTGAAGGCGAAGGCGAAGGCGAAGAACTAGATGTCGATGCCGATAAATCAGTCGTCAAGAAATTTCCCGGTGTAGTTAAGTTGATACAAAGAGCTTCGGCTTTTAAAATACATAATTGTCTCCAAAATTCACCGGGATTCATCATTAGCCGGTTGATTCTAATAGTTTCATAAAAACAATGTTTTTAAAACATGTTTTTGTAAAAGTCATTAAGTTATAGAAAGTTTGCAAGGTTACTATAGAAACTGAACACCCGGTGGATTTTAAACATCGACCTTTACTGCGAAAAATTTACAGCGCGCACTTTAAGCGTTTTTTAAATAGGATTGAGGTCGAAGCACAAGTTTGGCCTAATAATAATGAATAATTCTCAATAATCAAATCGACACTAAATTTGATAAAGCAAACCTAATAATTACTTAAATATTAAAGTTTGAGTTTCGTCTCATTTTTTATTTATCACCTCTTAGAACATGTTTTAAATGATGCTTAGTAAATATTATTTACTGGTTAATTTAAGATTTGAAAATTCATTTTTGATGAAAAACAATGAAAATCACTATTAAGAAAAAAGTTGGACAGTTTTGAGAGCATCTTCCTCATAGATTTCAAATTTAGCGACGGTCCCATCATTAAAACGGTAAGATAGTCCACCATCAATGACAACACAGGCATCAAACATTCGGGATCTAATTTCAATCTTAGAGGCGAATCCTCGAGTATACTCATCATTGGAACCAGTTACGATAGGATCTCGGACGGTGTAAGCCATAGTAGGTTTGGAAGCATCAAAAATCAAGGAATCGTTGAAGCGTTTTGTAACCGATTTGACAGTTTCTTCATCTGAAGAAATATTCTGTCCAGTTTCTTCATGAATTATTTGGAACAACTGTTTAACATTCTGTACAGTTAATCGGTTAATGTTGAAAGACCAAGAAGTGGAACCTGTTCCGGTGCAAATCGTAACTCCTGAGCTTTTAAATTTATATCTAGGTGTACCATCAACAGAAAATTCATAATATGAGACTCTTGAAGAGCAGCTTTCTCCTACAAAACATTCATTAAGAGCTCGAACAGGCAATTGTATGATCTTATTCCCTTGATTTTTTGAACATTTAGAGACATTTTCAGATTGAGATGCGAATGATGTGTGTGGTGGGGAACATGGTGAAACTCTTCCTGGTGCATGATCACACATCATTTTTTCATCAGCCTCGAGATAACGATATTCTGGATACATTAATTGTTGATTATGTAATTCTATTGGATCATCTTCTGCATTAACACCTTCTAGAGTTACACGAATCCTTTGACGATAAAACCATTTGAATTTGTTGGAATAAAGTTTGTCCAACATTAAATCCAAATCATTTGAATACTGTACAGGTAAACAAAGATGACCAACTGAACGAGATGGATCACTATTAATACCAATTATAGGTTTATCAGGACTATTGATGTGACTCGCTGCCATGAGAAAAGTGCCATCTCCGCCTGATGTAAATATTACATCAGCCCAATCAACATTCGCTTTATTATAATCAAGTCTATTCACCATTCTCACTTCTAAACCTCTTTTCTCAAGGGCCAATTTTAGTTTGTCACGAGAATTGCAATGGATTTGATGATGATGAAGTAAATTTCTATAATCAGATCCCCGACGCTGAAGCTATAAACAGTAAATAAAAAAATAAGACCAGATTTGTTATTATTGATGAGTTATCTAATAAGATTTGAAATCCACAAACCTTATCAATCAATTGCTCTTCGGTTAAATTAGGATTAGTTCTCTTCTCAAATTCATATCTTGAGAATTTGGTCAGTATTAATGCTTTTTTAGAATGGAATGTATCACCCTTCACAGGCTGGTCTTCAATTAAATCACTACTAGAAGATGACATCTTGTAATTGCACTTGACTATATTTTTAGCAGTAGGAAAAAAATCACAGGTTGGCTTAAGATAGTTTGCAGATAACACAAGTTTCCATGGACGACATAGAGAAAATATATAATTCATCCTTTTCTGCAGGGAAAGAAAGGATAATTTAATTTAAATGATACAAAAAGTGCGAGACAAATGGAAACAGAAACCTCAATGACACAAAGATAAATCAAGAGAACGAAATCAAAAGCACTGCATTGAAAAAAGTTGATCTCAATGGTCGAATCAAACTTAACTTACCACAAAAACATAGCATAGTGAAAGCTATTTCAAAGCTTGAATACTTGATTATCTTTTGCTTTCCATTATCGAAGATAATCTAAGACAGATCAAATTATCAGAGTAGTCTCCACAAAAAAACAACATGAATAACAAATCAAGCAATTAAGACTCAAATACAACTGAGAAGAATACAGAAAACAGTTAAGATTTGTGGTAAAATAATAAATTTGAGCGATAATAAACTCACTTCAGCTGTTTATTTGTTAAAGCTTACAAGAAAAGCAATGAAATTTCAAATTTGAACCCCTTCTGCAAAAGCTCAATTAGAATACATCCCCTAAAATTTGATTGGTTTAAGTTTGCTTGAGTAAAGACTTGACGTGTTCTTGAAATTTTTTGGTTATTTAATTTGTTGTAATTGACTGATCGAATTGTTATACAACTAATTAATTATGGATAAAATATTAGATAGCCTTGGGCTGAGCGACATCAGACGTATGACAGCTCGCCAGGTAAGTACAATGTTATTCTCATATTTTTCTGTTTTGTTTATATAAAACTAGTCTTTGTGGTCTTACCAGGTTGATCCCAAATATTAATTTTAAAATAACGTATGTTTTGATTTTGCAGTTACAAGTACTAATTATTGTTTTCTTTATTGCTTTTCTTCATTCATCAATATATGACACTCTTTGCACCATTTTCGCCAGCTTTATTACCAATTTCTTAACTTTGGGATGATCGTTTCTTCCGCCCTGATGATCTGGAAAGGTTTAATGGTTTTGACGGGAAGTGAAAGTCCGATTGTAGTTGTACTTAGTGGAAGTATGGAGCCTGCATTTCACAGAGGCGATCTACTTTTTTTAACCAATTACCGAGAGGATCCAATAAAAGTTGGTGACATTGTGGTTTTCCGTGTGGAGGGCAGGGAAATCCCAATTGTCCATAGAGTTTTAAAATTACATGAAAAAGAAGATGGATCAGTTAAAATACTGACCAAAGGTGATAATAATTCCATAGATGATCGAGGACTTTACGCTCCAGGCCAACTTTGGCTGCAAAAGAAAGATATAGTCGGCCGGGCGAGAGGGTTTGTTCCATATGTGGGTATAGTGACTATTCTAATGAATGATTATCCTAAATTTAAATACCTTGTCTTAGGTTGTTTGGGTGTATTTGTGCTTGTTCACAGGGATTAAGCTATTCTTTTTTTATGTCCACATTTGCAAACACCCAAACCAGTGAAATCATATTTAAAATCATCAAATAAAATCCAATGAATTTTTTTAATTAAATTTATTCTATTGAATCTATTAACAATTTCACCTCTCATTATATTCGTGGCTATTTTCACCTGGTTGATGACAATCCAACATGGTAGAATGAATAGTTTTGTTGCAACATTTCATCCTCAAATGTATGAATGGTTTTCAAAAAAATTGGTCTATTATTTTATATGAAAGAATGGTTCAAATGTTTCTTTTTACGAACACTTGTGTCTTACGTGTTTGGGATCTATTCTTTTGCGAAGGAGTTGCGACGTCATAATTTCCAGTGTTTAGATCGCCATGATCGAGTTAAATTTAAAAAAGAACCATCAGTCAATTCCGGAACATGTGTGTTTTCATCATCATTAAATTAACCTTTTTCATCAATTCCACCACTTATCAACTTCATTCCATGAAATGTTTGCTCAAGAAAATGGTTTTGGACAAGAAGATCTATATCGAATTTTAAAAGCGCTCTCTGTGACCAAACCTGATATGGGCTATTGTCACCATTAGCATTTTATTTTTTGATGATTGCATCTCAAATTTTCTTGATTTTATTCAATTTCTAGAAAAGTAAACCCATTTGGGTAATTGGTATATTACGTTAATAAAGTTAATGAATAAACAATAATTTCCAATTCTCTACGAGTTCTTGAAGGTAATTAGAAGGTGATTGGAAAATTTAATTCTGCAAATGTGGATCAACATATAAAGGTTTTCACTCTTAAAATATTCCAAGCAAATATTTGACTGAACAGTTTGACACATCTAACTATTTTCCCATTGAACGAGTGATTAAACATGGATTTAAGGGAAAAGGATCTTCAAAAAGATCACAAAAAACAAACAAGTCAAGTTTGAGATGTAGAAAGGGAAAGAACGATCAATCCAAGAATGAAGTAAATCAAATCTAGCAAAAGGACAATTTATTTTGATCATAAATACAAATAATAACGGGTTCTACACTAATCCACCATGCTTTTAGTTTACTTATTTTCGGCACATTAATTTCAGGTGACAAAACATCATCGGAATTTTGTAGTACTGAGCTACTTTTTAAACCCGATTGAACTCACATTTGTCATATTGAATAATTGTAATTTCAGTAAAAGTCATATACTTTGCTATAAAATTTAATTCGAAAGTCCAAGATAATCTTTTATTACATGACTGCCTCCATGTTGCTCCAAATATCGGATGAAAGATGAATTATCCAATGGTATGTCTTCAAATTTTTCATAGATTGACCCATTGATCGGATACTCTTTGATAATCAAGCTAATCTTTTGCCAAGTCAAGCTTCTAATTTTCCTCCAGAAGGCTTCACAGTTATCTTCAAATCCTTCAACGCAAATGAAACCTGAAAACGAGGTAATAAATCATCATTAATTATGTCAGCAAGAGTAATGGTTGAGTCATTTAAATCAAGATAATCGATATGAAAAATCAAAGTGATGGGTAATTTGGAATACAATAATGAAGTCAAGTTGTTGAGCAAAGGAAATGGATTAAAACAACTTTAAACTGTCTATTAAATGATGAAAAACTCAACATATCCATTTACAATTTTTGCATGTAACCATTGATGAACACTGATTGATTAGACGGATAATTTGATAAACTATTCTTGTTATTTGAATTTTGACTAAACACATTTTGGCCCATCAATTTGAGTGAAACTAATTTAGGCCCATTGTTTGCTTACTATTATTGGAAATAAACGGTTTTGCTTAGCTGCAAACATTACAATGAATGAATTAAAGTAACAAAAATTTTAGATTAGTGTAATAATATAATTGAGTATAACATTGATTGGAACGCAAGCTCATAATTAAACCTTAAAAGGAACAATAATAAGCATAAAATGGTTAATTTGATTCTAGGAAATGGACAAAAATAAACCCAATAGTCAATACAGCGATAGAAAAGCAACACAAAGCAGTTGGAAAACAAAAGAAATGATGGAAACAATAATGTTCCTGATAATAACATCCATTTCAATTCTATGATCGTCATCATCATGAGCCCAGGTGAAGATGAGATGGTTATCAATCAAAGATTGTAGATTACAATTAAATAGAAGAGTAAATATAAAGACTAAACACTTACCTGGTTTACCAGGGCGAACAAAGCCAGTCAAACGCCCATAACTTGCTTCATCGTTGATTATTTTACGCTTTATTTTACTGTAAATATGATGACTGTAAATCCAAAGGCGACAATCTGTTCAATGAAAGAAAATGATAATGATTATAAATTGATTAACAAATAATTATCAAATCTCTTTGAAACATTGACGCATTGAGAAAGCTCATTGTAACAGTGAAAAGCGCACAAAATATGAACATCTGAAACAGACAACAGGTTAAAGTTGAAAAAAAATGTTTTTTAACTGACAATATGTTTGATTGATAGATCACCACAAGGTTAATATCCTCTTTAAGCGTTAATTCAACTCATCAAGAGGTAAATTGAACAATTAAATTACAATGATTTACATTAACTGCACAAGGTTTGTTAACCACAAAAGATACGATTTCCCATTTTTACCAGTTAGCTGGAAGTTTTATTTTGATCTCTCAAGCAAGCCTAGTAAAAGTGGGTGTACAGAATAACAGAGGGCGCTCATAACAGATCCATTGGTTTGCTGAAATTTATTTTAAGAAATATTTTGTTTTTTCAATTATGAGAATCTATCTCTTCTGATCTACGATTTGAAAGAGGATAAGATTGCTTTGATTCAGTTTTAATGCATGATCAATACGGATTGTCTGAATCTTTAGGAAAAGAATAACAATTTGATAAACAACTCAAGGTCATCAATGAACGACGGGAACAAACTGGAATCCAGAGGAGTGTCAACAGTAAGGTTTGATCACCAAGTGCCACTCAATTAACTAACACCAAGGTAAGTTTCCAAAATAATCATTATGAAACAGTAAACAAGTGAAACAGGCAACAACAAAAAAACAACGGATGATTGGAACAAAACATTAACATTAAAAACGTATTATTAATTGAGAGAAGGTTATTTCAATACGGAACAATTTAGACTCATAAAGTTAACAAGTGAACAAAGTGGAAAACTAAATAATTGTGTTACCAATCAAAGTGAACTTGCATCGCCATATTTATCATCATCTTTTTTATTCCCACCACTTTTCTCCGGTTTTCTCCTTTACCATATTTTTACTCGTACAGATTTGCCTCAACATAACAGTTCATTAGTTTTGTGCTCACAGTTTTTTCTTTTTCTTTTTATTTTCTTCTTGATTATGCTTTTATCAAATATATATAATTAATTCATTTTATCGCCTCTATCACTATCAACAACAATATCTTGAATCAGTGAGATGAAAACCATCGGCCTACAACTAAATAACTTCAACATCTTCAAGGTTCAACTCTAACTGCCACTTTCTTCTGTTCGTTATTTTTTCATAGCCTTTACTTGTTTTTCTTGATGAAAGTTGATCTATTGGACAATTTTGCTTATTAATATTTATCTGTTTTGTTTAATTTCAGCAAAAATAGTTTTCAACGTGATCAAATTAAGTTTGATTTCTGTTACTAAATCAACCAGTGTTTAACCAGAATCACGTGCTAATTATTTACAATCAAGGATAACTTGGATAAAGAAACCTGTTGAGTTTACATTTTGTGTTGTTTTCTAGTCTTCTTCCATTATTATCATGATTTCAACTCACAGATGTTGTTTATTTATGAATAATATCTATATGTTACCAGCAAATCCATGGTAATAAAAATACTTTACATCAGACGATAATTAACTCAAAATTTCTACATTGGTGACAACTATACGTCAAAATGGAATCATATCAGATCAGAAATGTATGAAAAGTATTTATTTTTTTTTAGTTCTCTTTTTGCTTTACATTTTAACCCTTTTGTGTTTGCTTGTCAATTTAATAAATTGGCTCCTTTAGTCTATCCCATTACATTGTACAATCTAACTCGTGATCAAACCCTTGATCACTTAGCATTCAACTATGATATCAGCCTTCAACAGATTTCAAAGATAACGCCTTTCAGCTTTTTGTTTTCTTCAAAGGATTCATTTCAAAAGAAAACAAACCTCCATAAGTAATCCAATAACCTTTTCATCATTAGTGAAAACATTATTAGAACCTTGTGATTCAAATTGATCTTTATCATATTAGTGGGTCCCATATCTTTGATTTTCAATTAAAGCTATTCAAAATTGTTTGGGTTTCATCATACTTTCGTCTTTTTTTTATTTCTATTTTAATCTAAAAGATACTTTTATTGTTAGCTTATCATTTTAGTAGGTCTTTTGTCATTAATTCAGTCAATTGAATTGTTGATTTAGCTAATTTTGCTGTCCATTGTGAATCTCATCTGACTATTTCAATTTACATGCTTAAATTTTTTGCTATTATTTCACCTTTTCATGGAGCAAACTGTCTATTTTTTCGACTCCTACCAACCATTATCATCTTTTTAAAGCAGGTAGTGAACCAGAAGAACTACTTTTTAACCTCAATTAGAATTGGTTCGGAGTAAGAAAGCCAGAAAGAAATATTTGGTCTCAATTTTCTCTTTCGGTAGACTTTCAACTTGTGTCTAAAATGAACATTACTTGCTACTTTTTAGTTAACATTAATAACAGTAATAGGTAAACGATAACAGTAACATATAACATTGTGATGGTGATAGATAGACAGTAAAAACAACTGTACACGTCCTCACTCACAATTAGAAGCAACTGAGTGGTTTTAGTTATGCCTTGACACGCTTGTATGTTGACTTGCTTGCTAACTTACATTACTAACTTACAGTAGAAGTGAGAAAGAAAGATAGAAAGAGAGTGGGGAGAAGGAAAAAAAGAAATGAGAAAATAGAAAATGAGAGAAAACGTCAGTTTGTAAGAGTATTATAGTGAAACATTCTTGATATTGTTGATTCGATGGACAGTGTGCCTTGTAACACAGGAAACAAAGTGACTTTTAGCCAAGTTGACGCAAGGAAAATAATAGCTACCTGATTGAGTGTTCCCATCTTGTTGCGAGGTTGATGGTTGCTGTTTAAACAATTTTTCATCTTGTTTGGTTCCGTTATCGGTTATTGGATTGTATCTTTGTGAACAATATTTTGCACCATCTTCATTTGATATATCCTTGGTTTCATCATCACTATCATCTGTATCATCAACATTATTTCTATCATCTGTTTTCTCTTTTTCTCCTTCTTCTTCTCTTTCATCTTCACCAGTCACTTTCTCTATTTCATCTTCTTTCTCTCCTTTTGAATAAGCTGTGAACCATTCTTGAACCCAAAGTATTATTCCAAGTACATCAATAAATTCGCTAGTGGAAATGTGCGCTGACAGTTGACGATTAATCTTGGATTCAGCTTTTTTAACACAATTAGCTTGTAAGTGTTGGTGTTTCTGTTGTTTCTGTTGTTTTTGCTGTTTCTGTTGAGCCTTGTGTTGCTTTGAATGTGACACTACCTGTTGATTATAAGGATCTTTCGTCTCATTAATTTCATAGATTCTTACCAAACAAGTGATCTTTCCATCAAGTGGATAATCTCTATCCAATGAGAAGTGAATTTCATAAGTGGTTGTTGCATCTTTGTTACGAAAGTAAAAAGTGGATGGATGTGTATGAATCAGAGCCGCAGTGTTTTCATCAATAACATCCTGCTCAATGCAGCATTTCAGGTCTTCGTCTTCAATTATTATTTGATCTGGATACATACTCAGAGCAAATTTAATCTCATTCAATTGTTCATTAATTTGTAAACAGTGACACATGGTGAAAAAGAAGGAAAAAAATAAGATTTGAAAATATTAGGGTAATGTTAAGGAAAATAAGAGAGGGATAGAAAAAGCTTTTTTCTCATCTATTTGATTCAGCTGTGTTGTAGTTTTCATTTGGATTGATCACTTGTCTCATCTTTCATCCTTAAACTTGTACTAACCAATTTCAAATACGTTTTTACTTTAAGTGCCACGCCTTGGCTTTTTTGCCTACCTTGATCCTTGAAGAAATACAGTTAAATGACAATATTAACAGTTAAATAGAAGCAGCAGCAATAGCAACTACTACTTGAGCAACTTTAATTTTCATGCAATTGGTATGATTGTGGCTGTGTTTTGAAATACAAAGACTAGAGATACACCAACTCACACCTGAAAGTACATATAACCTTTGAAATAGATTTGGAACCCTAATTCAATTCCCTAATCAGCTTTCATTTTCTTTGTTTTTTTTTGTGTTGATTAGCTGATTCAATGATCACACACTCAATTTATTGAATTTCATCCAATTGTTTGCTGTTCTAGTTGAATGATGGGATAAAATAATTTCAACTTCCGCGTGGTGGTTTCACATGGTTAATCTAATTAATTTTTCTTCTTTTTCTTTCAAAACTTGTTTTGTTCACACTTGCAGGATAGAGCCATGACACAAAGATCAAGCAGAGGTAATATTGGACCTTGGAGGGCCGTCGCCGCTGAAGCTGCAGCTACCGCGGCTGCTTCTGGTCGTACGTCAAGTAAATCAATTGGAATGGCAAATGGTGGCAATACTCTTGATAGTAATTATTCTGATGAATCTCGGTTATCCGGTAAAAACAATTCCACCTTGTCATCAAAAATTGCAATTAAATCTATACCATCATCAACTTCACCTCAATCAGCCGCTGTAATTAGCACAATCTCAAATCAAAAGCGTTCAATAACAAACTTATCATCATCCTCAATGTACCACCATCATCATGATCATCATTATTCATACAATAACACAGGGTATTCAACAAATGGTAGCATATCAAAGTCATCCATGACCGCAGCAGCAGCCGCTGCATTGGAAAAATCAACAGGAACTAATAATGGTGCCGTGGATACTTCGGATGAAGAAGATGATGACTACAGTTCACCAGTTAGGCGGACATCTAATTACAAGAACAATCTTATCAGTGCAAGCAATGGAAGCAAGAGTAAAGTAAATGATGAAGGTCCATCATCGTCATCCATATCAGCTACAAAATTGGACCGATTTGGATTTTATATCAATGATCCTCAATCCAAAGGTTTATCGGATGATATGAATAATTTATCTTTAATAGAAATCACTCGTAAACGTGAATCAAAGTGGCTTCATATGTTTTCACATTGGGATGAATATATTCACAAAAAGTGGAAAAAATTACGCACTCGTTGTCGAAAAGGAATCCCAGATTCAGTTAGAGGTAAAGCATGGTTTTATCTGTGTGCTGGACATAAACAGAAACAAAGAAATCCAGAATTGTTTGCCAAATTGGATGGACAACCGGGTGATGAGAAGATTAATGATGAGATTCGTAAAGATTTAAATCGTCAATTTCCATCTCATGAAATGTTTGCTCAAGAAAATGGTTCTGGACAAGAAGATCTATATCGAATTTTAAAAGCCTTCTCTGTGATCAAACCTGATATCGGCTATTGCCAGGGTCAAGCACCATTAGCTTCTGTTCTTCTTATGCAAATGCCAGCAGAAGATGCCTTTTGGTGTTTATTACAAATCTGTGATCATTATGTTCCTGGTTATTTTTCACCTGGGTTAGAAGCAATCCAACTACATGGTCAAATGTTGTCTAGTTTTGTTAAAAAATTTCATCCTCAAATTTATAAATTGTTCAAGAAACAATCAATTGATCCAGTACTTTATATGACGGAATGGTTCATGTGTTTCTTTTCACGAACACTTTCTTGGCCTTGTGTTTTACGTGTTTGGGACATGTTCTTTTGTGAAGGAATTGTGGTTATTTTCAAAGTAGCCCTTATCCTGATTTCCAGTGTTTTAGGTCGCCATGAAGATCGAGTTAAATGTGTATCAGCATATGAAACGTTGTTTGCCCTCAAAAACATTCCAAGCAAATATTTGACGGAAGAATTCCTCATTGAACGGGTTATTAACATGGATTTAAGTGAAAAGGATCTTCAGAAAGAGCATAAAGAACAAAGTTTGAAGCGTAAAAAAGAAAAGGAAAGATCAACACAACAGCGAAGTAAATCAAATCTAACAAAAGGACCATCAGTTAGTTCGGGAACAAGTATTTTGTCACCATCATCAGCAAATAAAGGTTCAATTAGTAGAAAATCTCGTTCAAAGAGTGATTTTGATTCACGCTGATGATTCCATTATATTCCACACAACCTGAGGACCAATTAAAGCCTTATTGTTCTTAATTTAACCTTAATTTTCGTTTATTTTATCAAAAATATCTGAATGTTATTCAATCTCTTGAAAAGTATACGTATATTTGATAAGAAAATTGGTATAAAAGCTATTCTTCCAATTGTTTACCAAGGAATCAATCGTTTCTTTATACAATCGTGAATGTTTTTTTTGTTATAAATCACTTTCTAAATCAAATCTTTAATGATACTCTCATTTACAGAACGTTAATGGATCAAACAATAAGTTTTTCAATTCTGTTGCTTTTTCTCAAAGCAAAGAATTAGAAGATAATTTTTCATTAAATATTCTTACATAGTCTCAATTGATTATTATAACTAATTTATCAATAAACAAAATTCAAAGTTAATGGGTTACATCAGCTTTAAGGTTAAATTGAATATGAAGATGGAACTCTCTCAGGTACAAAGAGTATAACTCTTTGCTTAGGACGCTTCTTTTGGTTAATGTAAACAACATTATATACATTATTATTGTATACATACTCTTTTTATTTTGGCATTTTCTTGTTGATTTTTTACTTTTTCAATAATTTTTAAGGTAGGATTGAAGGTGTAGATTAAGAAGAGGAAATGTAACCAACAAAAGAAATATATAGATTTCTGTAGAACATGAGAAGGAAAAAAAATTGCTTCATAAATCACAACTAATCTCTTTTTGATTTGTTTTTCCTGTCCGAATTTGAATTGCATCTGATGTCGTTTACTTTGTCCTCTTCATGACGAATTACCTCTCCTTAGTCCTTTTCCGCTTATTTCCTTCGTATATTGAACTGTCATGTACTTTTAACCGTGAATCCAACATTGATAATATATTTTATTCTGTTTCAAATGTTATGTAGTTTAGTAAAGTTTTAAAGCGTTAACATGGTCCATCATAAACTACAATTGTAACTCTTTAAATTGAGGATCTGATGGACTGAAATAAGCGTTAACTTGTTCCTCTGTGACATCTTCAAGCCTATCTGGTTTCCATTTGGGGTTCTTATCTTTATCAATCAGAGCTATAATTAAAAAAATAGGATAAAAAAGAGAGTTAGTTTAAATGTTAGCCAGTCAAATAGGCTATTCATGGGATGATTAAATATGGAAAATATGCACGAATATTTTTTTGGTATTTGATATTCAATAAACTGAAATCTGAAAATTTGTATAATTTCTGGCAAACATCCAGTCAACGTTAACTAGGTAATGATAAATAACATTGAAAATGTTTGAATGAAACGTTGCTTCTATTTGTTGCTCGTTTCATATGACTTTAGCAATCTTTTACTTGATGAGAGTGGTTGTTGAGATTTATGCAAGGCCAACACAACATCATGTGTAAAACACAGGGGAAACTAAATTAATGTCAAATGAAGAAGTTGTTAGAATCCCCTTAATAACTTAAAATACCTGAAAAGATAATTATTTGACTAACAATTATTAAATTTAATCAGGTTAATGAAGGATAAAGTCCAGACTAACTACGATTTTTTAGACGAGTGTATTTTATAAGTTACCCTACACTTGTAATTATTTGACCGATAAGGAAACTGATGAAGAAACTGATATTATCATTTTTATGCTCAAGTCAATTATCAATTCTCGTTAGTTAACTAACTTGATTAACTAAATGAACGTGATTCACGAAAATATAAATAAAAACTCATAGCTCATAACTAACCAGCTCTGACTCCTTCGAAAAAGTCCGGTATGTGCATCATTTGATGTGCGATACGATACTCCATTTTAAGACAGTCAGGAAGGGACATCATTGAGCCTTGCTGTAGCGCTTTAAAGGTGACTTTCAGACTTGTTGGTGAGGCAGATTTCAATATTTCAAGTTGCTGTTTACTCCAATCGGAAGAATCTTTCGACAAATTTTCCATGATTTGCTCAACAGATTCAGCGGCTCCAAAAGCTGAATTGATTCTTCCTATGTACTGTTTAAGAGAGAACTCTTTTTTATAATCAGCTTCCCATTGCTCCTGATACCTTGTCAGTAGAGAATCAATTCCTTTTAAATCTGTTTGAATGAAAAAAGAGAAATGAGTTATGACAAAGTTGAGTATTTCTTTGCTTTAGTAAATTTTTGAAAATAGCCAACAATAGATACCTGGATCTTTCATCCTGAGCAAATCACTTTCCAATTCTTCTAATCGATCAGAACATACAAAATGAGTGGCAATCCCTGCTTTAAAAAGGTCTCTACCGTGCAAACGCCCGCCTGTTAGTGCGAGAAAAAGACCAAGTTTACCAGGCAAACGAGGCAAGAAATGAGATCCACCAACATCAGGGAAAAAACCAATTGCTGTTTCAGGCATAGCAAAAACTGCTTTTTCAGTGGCAACTCGATAAGCTCCGTGTACAGATAAACCAACACCGCCACCCATCACGATTCCATTCAATAGTGCCACATAAGGAATAGCCATGGAACCTATTTGATTATTTAGGCGGTATTCTTCCCGGAAAAATTCTAATCCAAGTGGTGATCCATGACCAGCTTGAGCAATCTCTGTTAATATAGAAACAAAATATCATGATTTTAACAAAGATTAACTAAACGAAAAGGAAATGTCAAAGTAATTTACAAAATCGATCATGACTCAATGGCATCAGAAAATAACATTCGAAATTTTGGAGCTATACAGCAAAAAGAAATATAATAAAGAACTATAAAATAATTTGAAGATTAACTTATCAATATTCGATCTGCTGTTGATTATGCTACGGTTATACACGAATGGGATTAACTGAGTGGGGACAGTGTTATCATTAATGATAAGAGTAGAAATCTTGACTATTATGAGTATAAGTTACGTTAATATCATAAAAAAGAGTGAAAAAAAGGAAGAGAGGTAAGATTAAAATGATCACAGAAACAATATAAGCTACAGACTTTTCTCGAGAGCAATGAGCGGACGATTTGACGCATAATGCCCTCATGTGATATCGCTCGATTCGTAGACTAAATGTATCTTCAAAGAAGTATTCAAAGTTATATGAATGAGTGTCACCTTTAATATCACCACCAGCACAGAAAGCTTTTTCTCCAGTTCCCTTGATTATGACCATCTTCATTGAATTGTCCATTTCCCATTTTCTTAATTGCGGATATATTTTACGAACCATTGAGATATTTAGAGCATTCAATTTTTTAGGTCTATTCAAAATAATGATTCCCTTGTTTCCTTCACGATTAAGGATAACTTCGTCATCACTTGATGAGGCAGCAGAGGAGCTAGACGACATCCTTCGTCCTGATAATTGGTAAATGAGGTTCACAGAGTCATGCCGTCCAGTAAATAACAGCCTTTAAATAATAGAAGAGGAGAACAAATAAATATAATTAATAAATGGTAAATATGAAAAGAGATATTGGAGAATTAGAATTCCAAATAGGTAAAGAGATTGAAATGTGCTTTTCATACAATACATTGATATTTAATGTATCAATTTTACACAGATAAAAGAGCAGATTGTCTTAATACATCATTCATTTTCAAACTGTATGCAAACCTTTGCAATGGAAAGATAGAAATAGCAAAGACACACTATTCAAAGGCAATTGAAATCAAATAAACATCATAATTCAGTGGCACTAGAAAACTCAACACAGGTAAAATGATGAGAACACAAAATCAACATGAATCAGTGAGCATTGAGGAAATCATGAATGATTTAATGAATAGCTGACGGCAATAAAAAACAATACAAGTCAACCAAAAACAGGAACAAAAATATTAAGGAAAAATATAAGAGATGTTGAAAAAAATAACTTAACAGGACACCTTCAAACAATATTAACTGGTATAACCAGAAAACGAGATTATGGTGATCCTAGACCTTAATGCAGCGGCAAGAACATTATTAATTTACCTTTTCATACAAATGTTGGACATTGTTGAAATAACAATAAGTCGTTAATGGTGGAATAATAATAAAAACAATAAAAACAATAAGAATTAATCACAGAATACAGAACTTACAACTGTTAAATAAAAACCGAGCAAACAGACCCACAGAAAGAGAGTTTATAAACAAGATTCTAGGTTCAACCAATGATGAGTCTTTACGCTCAGTCGTTCTTCTCCCTAACAACATCTTTCTCTCTCTTACTCTTCTTTCCCCTCTTTCCCTCTCTTGCAGATAAATCATTTTTGAATTTTCTGAGCCACTATTGAATACCAATCTTTTATTTAATTTCAACTTGAACATTTGTTTGAGAAAAATGGCCGTTTGACTGGGCATCTTCTGATAATCTTATGCTACTTATCAAATGGTATAATCAGCAGTTTTAAGTCTGCTAATTCAGGGCTTATTTTTCTTATAAACTCTCTGTTGATTGTTTTTAATTAACCATTTTAATTTACTGAAAATGGTTTAAATTATTCCAATTTTCGCACAATTATCGTAGTTAGTGTTGTATTTATTTTGTACCATTCCCACTCACCACACTTTGACGTTTTTACAAACCATTAACAACAATAAATTGATAGTCATCATTACATTTTTCTATTTACTAACAGTGTACTAGCTTACAGTAATTTGATTAATCAAAATGAACCTTAATCACATTAATCCATTACATATATTTGATCGTTTCTTGCTATCTTTATTCAATGTCAATGAGACTCTTTCTGATTTTGGCTATTGAAAAAAACACGAATTGCGTCTAGGCAATTTACTGATCAGATGGTTATTTTTTCAATTTTCATTTAATTATTTTCAACGTTTAACATTGGTTTGGATAACAGATCTGCAGGGATTAACAAAGAAAGTGACAGTTTGCAGCGGATTGACACTAATTGATTTTAAATTAGCTTCTCTGTTGGAGTTAACATTGTTAATCTTGCTTTTATCTCATAATACTGATTTGAAATGGTAAATAAAAAAACACGCAACATAGATAAAAATTTATAAATCGAAGTCCAGAATATTGTTTTCTTCATCAATGGTACTTAATACACTTGAATTATCAGTTTTGGTTACAGCCTTTTTAATCTCGGCAACTTTCTTTGGAGGTTCGGGGGCTTCCTTCTGAGCTTCCTTTGGAGCTTCAGTATCCATCTGCTGAGATATTTGTTCGGTATTAACAGGTGAAATTGGTTCAGGGCTCTTGGCTTCAACTTCATTTCTTTCAACTTCAACTGCAGTTGGTTCATACAAAAGAGAATTTAAAATATCCTGAGTTATAGTGGGCAATTCTTGTGTCATTTCATAATCTTTACTACCATTTGTGACTTCTTGCGTCAGCTCAAGATCTTTACAACCATTAGTGACTTCTGGTTGTTTATTCTCAACGTGTTCTTCCTCGGTTAGGAAGGTAGCTTCCTCAGGAAGCAGGTCAGATATGTCCATAGGCACCGAGTCTTCATTGTGACTTAAACCGTTCTTGACTCCATTTTGCGTATCTACTGGTTGAGGTTCACATTTTTCAGGAACCGTTTCTATTATTGTTTTAGGTTCGGCTGATGTAATTGTTGAATCACCATTTTGAATTGCTTTGGGTTCTGGCTCTTTATCAACCACAACAGGTCTTGGTTCACAGATAGACTCAGGCTGTTTGAAAACATTAGTTTCATACCACTTTAAAACATCTTCTGGTACTTTATTGTCAACGATAATTACAGGATGTTTGGAAAATAAGCTGCTAAATTTATAATACATTTTTTCATTCACAAGTTCTAAAAGCTCTTTACTATTGACGGCGATAGTGTCTTTAACATTGTTATAAATGAATGCGGGCGGAGGTTTATCCATGATGAGAAGAGATACTTAAATTTGGAAACAAATAGAACAAAAAAGGCCAAATTATGAATGATTCAAAAGATCAATAAAATCCATTACAAATTGTAAATTCAAAATTGATGCCTAAAATGTAACCAATAACAACAGCTTTTATCTTTCTCTGGTCGAATAAGAAGCGCGATATTTAAATCAGTCATATTTACAACTTACAATTAAATTTCAATGTAAGCAATTACCAAGTTCAATTAATTAATCAGATAATTAGATGCAAAATTGAAGATAAAGCTTTATACACTTAAGCTAGAAATGGCATATTTCTAGATAAACCTTTTATAAATTACGAGTCAGCGTTACGTTTTAGATAGTCTGCTTGAATTTGAATTAACTGGACTCAATTTGAATTATAAGTCATTAACAGGTTTTATTGTGACTAATATAATGAAAGAATCAGAGTTTCGCTAGAAGATTAATAGCAATTGATTGATCTTGCGTTAAATCTAGCATGGATTTGGAGCAGGAAATTGCTTTTTTCTGGATTAATGATCTGAGTCTTATTAAAAAGTAAATTGAATAAAAATTAAATCAGCTGGTTTAATTTAAATAAAATGTTTTAGGATAATCTAGAAAGAGTTTGTAATATATTTTTACACACATTTGATTGACATTGTGAAGGAAAATGTTTGTAAAGTCCAAGTGTGGACTAATTGTGCTTTAAGAGCTAATTTTCCCGTTTATTTGTATCATAAACAAAGATGATTGTTAATTTAGATTTTGTGTGTTTCATCTGATTCACTGTACGTTAATCTTGATCATTTTATGGCAAAGAGGATTCAGATTAAGACCCGAGTTCCTCCATTTCTCTGCAAAAAAGGTAACGAAAATGAAACCGGATAATTGAAAGGTTTTACCTGGTGAGACAATGAGTGACAAATAATTCTCTGACGGTGTTTTGATGGATTGATATCTATCGAGATTATTTGGTTTATCTAAAGTACTTTGCATGTAATTTCATTAACAAAAAAGGTGAGCTTGCTTCTGAATCAAACCTAATTTAAATCTAAGCTAAGCTATGCTTTTTAGTTAATTACCATTTAGCTTTTTGGTAAAACCAATTATTGCGTTTTTTTATCTTTAAAACTAAACATTTATACCAGAAACAAAACAAGTTTGATTTGGTATTAGCTTTGATAAGTGACAGGTCAATAATATTGAGTTGAAGTTGATTGAAATTGTAAACAATGAATTGATCTCCAAATCTGGCGTGTTTAACTAAACCTTGATGCGGTAAACTTGTTATTCAATTTTTAAATGGTCAAAAATCAAGATTCCAATTTATATCAGTTACATCTGGTCGATAAATTGCGATAATCTTGCTGATGTTATCAGCCGATGACACCAAAATGAACAGCTGGTAATTATCATGGAAAGGGTTTATGAAAAACCAATTAGAGCCTAAATTTTCACTCGATAATTATACTCAGAGACAATGAGATGGTCATAAAAATGGATAAACATGAGGTCAACATGTTCAAAATATGGTTAAACCCTAAGGAAAAGCTCTAACACCACAAATTGCTGCACAAATAATATGCCAAAAATGGGTCCATGTGGTGTACATGTGTGTAATGCATATTTGTATGGCTTTTACCAAAAAAAGGTCAGTAAATTTTTGACCAAAAAGAGAGAGAATGAGAAAGAGCTGGAGATTGAGATTGAGAGTAAGAGAGAATCACAAACATTATCAATCAGGAGAATGAGAAAGATTAACCAGATTAAGATAGTTAAGAGGAGTTTTCATATTAAAAACAGGTCAAATAACATTAACACAGCAATAAAAAAATCAGTCAAGAAAGTCAAGTATTTCAAAGATAGATGGCAGTTTATGAAATAACCATCCACTGAAAGAGGATTTTTTTTAGGGAGTTAACTGTAGCCGTGAGTTGAAGTTTTGGTAATAATTATGAGTTTTTACACTTTTAATTCTGTTTAGAACCTTTTTTTCTGTAAATCTTTCCTTTGATTTACCTTGATTACTTTTGTTTATGTGAATATAGTGACAATAATAAAGCTCCAGCAAAGTGGATTAACCTTTATTGACCATCATTTTGTTGATTGGATGTAATATGTTAAAAGATGGACAACAATATTCAAGGTAATAGTCTAAAACATTGTACTCTGTTATTATTTTTTGTTGACTTTATTTTAATCAATGTTTTTTATTTTCTTCTGTTTAATTTAGTTCTCAGTTTCACCCTTTCCCCATTGCTTCTTATTATTGAAATTACCTAAATGCGTTTTTTCAACAATGACTATTGTTGCATAACATTGTGCTACTGTGTAAAGCTCTTTGAGCTTTCATTCTTGTTGCTTTCATTAAACCTCATATGATCTCTATTTAGTTTCATCTCTCATCTCTTGAGGCCTTCCGTTTGACTCATTTTTTAATTCAATCATCAATTGAGCAATTTAAAGTTCCTAGATGCATTCATTCAGATTCAGCTTAATCAATTTATTCTGGAATTTAAATTAATCTGTCAAAATTAATTTCTCTGCTCTTTTTAGACATTTGTCGGGTTTGTCGATCAGAAGGGTCTACAGACAAGCCTCTGTACCATCCGTGTAGATGTACTGGAAGTGTAAAATATATTCATAAAGACTGGTAAGTGCATTCCAAATAAATTGCTCACAATTATTTGCTTGAAATCTGGTTCGAAAAATTTTGCGATAAAAATTTTAACCATAGATAATTCCAATCATAACATCGATCCATTTATTGATGTTAATGTAAATAAAAATGTCATGAATTATGACATCATGAATTTCATGAAAGTAGATTTAGAATTTCCTTTTATGCTGATGTTTACAAAATATACTGATCCCTTTGCTCTGGGCGTTTTCGATGAAATAAATTTACGAAAATTTTTTCAGAATTTCGCTCAGCAGGTTATTCATTTTAAAACACTCACCTGTTTTGTTTTCTTCCGATTTCTTGCAGCTTAGTACAATGGTTGAAGTACAGCGAAAAGGAGTATTGTGAGTTATGCAACTACAGGTTCTCATTCACAACAAGTAAGTATTTCAGAAAGGCCTCTCTTCCCTCATATCTTTCTCATTATTCCATTTCCGCAAATTCATCTTCCATCAATTCAGTCAACATTGTCAAATCTAATCAAACATTGTTTCTTTAAGGTCGTAGTTCACGGATCATCTCATCTTATAAAGTTTTTGAAACTGACTGTCCCATTGGAACAATTAAAAGGAAACCAAGTTTACCATTAACCTCAACCACACGAAATTTGGCCAAACAATCAGATAACGCAGTGCTAGATATTGAATCATCATCATCTGGAGATGACGAGAAAACATTTAAAAATGGAATATTTCGTCTGAGAAGATCAGCAACAGCTGAAAGGCTAGATAATAGTTTTACTTATGAAGGTACGTAACCTTGGTTTGACCAATCTATAATTTAATCCACCCTTTATTATTGATTGATTCAACCACTATTTTAACCCTCAATTTCATTCATTCTTGCTATTCATTTCGATGGTATGTAGATCACCCACTTTATTTATTAGCATAAACATTTGGATATACAGTTTAATGTCAAGTTCAGGATAGCCTTGTTAATGAGAGGAAATATATGAATACTTCCGAGTTTGATGTCATGAAAATTTACTCAGAAATTGATGGGTTGCCAACTTCGCACAGGATTTACGCCTAAGATTCCATAATAGAGTGAGAAAAGAATAAGAGATGTAAAAAAAAGATGAGACTGAGAAAGTTAATCAGATTGTCTTGCGATTACATCTTCTGTATCATCTTCTCACCCTTGACTTTGGTGTTGTTTCTCTTTCTTTCCTTCTCCTTCTTCCATGTTTATGCTCTCTTTCCTGTTAATTGCTAGAGAAGCAAAGAAATTTGATTTTATCTTTTTTCTTTTTAGTTGTTACTTAATAGGCACTCAACAGGGAGTAAACAATTCAGAGAACAATCAACTTTGATAATGTTTAAACAATTAAGAATGGCTGACCATTTTTATTTAAACCACTGTTTACTTCATTTTTCACATTATAATCATTATTTTATCTTCTTTTCTTGACCAGGTAAATCGATAGGAAGATTTGAACCACCCATGACCAATCAAACACCTCAAGACTCATCTGAAGATGCTGATTGTGAAGAGGAAGAAGATGATTACGGTGACGATGATCTAGATGATTTTCCATTGCCACCACCACCAGAGACATTAACATCAAGTTTAAGCTGTTTAAGTCTTGACTCACTTCCGCCTCCACCGTCGGAATTTTTAGATAACTCTGATGACTTCAAAATAACAGACAAAACTGAATCTACTCAAAGTCTTAGAAGATTTTCAAATGCTAAACCAATTTCGCCGGTTGTGCCTCCAAATCTCGACTACTTAAACGATAATTTATTTGAATATTTGACTCGGAATAATGGTAATAAAAGAAACAGTTGCACCAGTACAAGCACTAGTACTGACAGTACTACTAGTAGTAATATCAATAGCAACTCTAGCCGAGTTTCAACCAGCAACTCAAATCATTATCAAACGACGCTTAAACGTGATTCCATGAATCGTATCACAGGTTCTACACTACCATCGCCAATGCATAACCAAAGTCCATCACCAGTCTCTATCACTACGATAGCACAACAACGCTTACAATCACAACATTCTTACTCTGACCAATTATACCCTGAATCACCCAAACCAAATGACTCCAAAAATGAAGCAAATAAGGAACCAATTTATCAACAAATTCCTGCTCATTTCGTATCTAATCAAATTTCATCTTCAACAAATGTAACTTGTCGACAACCAAATTCACAGCATTATCAATATCCTCAAATGCAACAACATCAACAATTACTAGGTCATTCAAATGCAAATATTTGTCAACCATCAAACCATGCTGAATCTATTGATGGGCCAATCTATCAAGAAGTGCCAAAAACCGTGGCTCAAAATGTTAATTATGGAAATAATAGCAATAATAATAATAACAGAGAGTCACTTTCTCAACGATCATCTAATGGATTGAATTTATCTTTTAACAACAATTCATCTCCAGTCATAATCTCAACCAATACGATGAGCCCCGGATCACGGCCATCCTCAATTGTTTCTACTCCTACTAACAATTGTAAAACATCGACATTCAACAAAGTCGAAATAGCTGCCAGTTTCAATTATCCCCCTCCAATGTCCCAAAGAAACCCTATGAAAGGTCCTTTACCACCTCCACCAGAGATATTTCTTAGAGATATCCATCGAGTTATGGATAAAAAATGGAAAGTAGCTCAACAGTTGTCAGTTGACACAAATCAGACTATCGACCAATTAATCTTTGGGTTTCGTGGTTCACATGATTATTATTATTATTATGATTATCCACAGAATCAACAACCCTCAGAAACACCAATCCCACCTTATCCCTCTCAAACGATCAACAATCATTATGAAGTACCTCCAAATATGTCACATTATAATCACAATTATAATCAAAATTATCAATCCAATCCTTACCAGCAAAATGTTTCTCCATGTCAACGAATAGACGAACTATCTGAATGTAATAATGCAATCCATTCATCACCCAACTCTTCTGCATCATCTTCCTCATCCGGAACTTCAAACAGTTCAATGATGTCCAGTCCATATTATAATGAAATTCAGGAACGAGATATTCCAGTTCTACCTCCTCCGCCTATACTGAGATGCACCAATTCATCTTTGTTTGATAAAACATCGATTAGGGGTAAAAGTGCCCCTCCACCTCCGCCCAGGCGTAGTGATAAAACTCGTCTCTCTGGTCGTAATCAATTGAGAAACTAAATCGTCAATCATTTAAAAATCTGTTGAACTTTCTCATGTTAAAATGTTTTCCTCTCAACCTTCATCCAAATTCACCCATTCGTCCCACTTTTTTGCCTTGTCACCTAATATTTTCCTGCCCTGACACCTAAATACCTCTGACAAAAATCACTCCAATTATCCTATTGTCCTTTCGTCTCTTACAACCCAGACAATCTTAAAAGTATTGATGAGTTTAACTTGCAAAAAAATGAAAACCAAGTCAAAGCATAAAACGAAAATTATTAGATAATTTAGTGATTTGATACCAAAAAAAATCAAGACATAATGAGAAAGCTTTGTTACTTAATTCGATAATGTTTAAAGAAACGTTTCAAACTCTTAATCCAATCAATATAGAATCTCTTTATTATAGAGTCAACGTTCATATTTGAATCATTTTTTACATATTTCCATTTTTCCTAATCTTGTCTTGAATTGTTCATTTTGATCACTTCAGTCATTGAACCAGGCAATTTTATTGAAACAAAAATGATGCTTACATCCATTTTACATTTTATTTACATTTCTCTAACCTCCGGTTCAACTTTTGTACATTTCTCATCTTCTCTAGCTGTAATTGAACGTCAATTGAATTCAAAATTTAAATGCAATAATAAAGGATTCCAAAATCTTGACTAAAACCTTTTGCTAATCAGTTCTTACCTAAATTTTTGAGTTTGATTTCAATTGAATTTCAATGTATCATCAAATAAATGATTTTACCAATAAATCATTCTTTTTCAATTTGATTTTGATAATTTTGCTTTTCAATTAGCTTAATATCAGCTCATCAATTGACAATAGATGTCAAGAAGCTAAAAAACAGACCAATTTATGTATAATTCAAGCAATTTGAATTGTGAGGGAATGATTGAAGCGAAAACAAAACCAGAATTTGGATTATGAAATTAACTCAACGATTGTTTTCAGCCATTGATTAATTTTATCACGATTAAACAGTTAAATGGTTCAGTTTGAATTGAATGTAAATTAGCAATTAAAGATCGACTTAATTTATTGTTGTACATTACTTTCATAAACAACTCAACAGTGATTTAAATGCTACTCATTCTTGACTATTAAATTAGATCAACACGATATTTTGTATTGAATAACTAACATGAATCCAAGTAGTTGATGAATAAATAATACACATTTAATCTATTCTAATTAAAAATTTACATTTAATTTCATGATAACCATATAATAAACTGTATTAAATGCTATTATAGCTGTCTTTACAGATACAAAGCGTAATAAAATGAATATCTTCAAGTTGATATAAATGAGTTTTTCGTTGGCCTTTAAAATGTAAATATTGTTTTATCGATCAATCTGTAAAAGCTAATAAAGTACAATCGATTAAGGCAAAAAATCTGTTGAATATTCATAATTAACTTGAATTACGATATTTTAAAGCTAGTTATTACAATAAAATTGCTTTAAAGCCTTGCTAATCAAAGCTATTTCAGATTTGAATAGCAAAGTGTACAAATGATTATAACATTTGATTATCCAACTCATTATGACAATTAATATCCTAATTTGAATGAATTAGGATCTCGAGACTTGATCTCAACCAAACTAGAGTCTAGACATTAAATAAATACAAAGAGTTGGACTAAAAAAGTTGTAAAGCAATCATAAAAATGTATATTAAACGATGAAAAAAGGTAGTAATGATAATAGCAATTATAATAATGATAATAATAGTATGTGATATTATATGATAATTTAGCTAATTATCACTCTTATAGCTACAGAAAAATGTTTTGTTTTATAGTAAAAAAGGCAAGTTCAGTTTTGCAGGGGCCAAAAATGAAACAAGGATAGACGATTGATTGTACATTGAATTATGAAAAAAAAACAATCAATTGACTGAACATGTTTCATTTTTGTTTACATCTTTGTTGGGATGATTGTCATAATATAATATAAATCGTTTCATTTGTTGTTTCATCAATAGTTTGTCCTTTTACAAGCAAAGGTTACAAAGAATACAAATAAATATAAAATATTATTTATAAAACTGTCGATGAAGATGCGCAAAAAATTGGTAAATACTGATAATATTTGGAGAATATATTAAAAGTATTTGATCAGGAAACATTAATTAAATCCATAATTTATCCATTATTTGCAATTGTGTCCTTTAATTTGTGAGCCTTCAATAATAAACTCGTCTAAGTCTTGGGTTAAGTTGGAAGCCGTTTTTGGTGGTCAACTTGGAAGTTGTGATTGTCCAACATCAATTACAATTTTACTTTCTATTCATTGGCAACTGTGTGAGTTTTTTTGTTTTAACCAATTAAAAGTTAAATTATCCATTAAATTAAAAACTTGAACCAAGCAAGTGAAACAAACAGTTTAAATTGCATCCAAATTCATTTAATCATTCAGACACGACTAAACTTGAGTCCAGCTAAAGATGGAAACGATGATAAAGAGGAAAAAAGGAGAGAAAGAAAAGCGCAATTAGATAATTAATAAAAATAAGTTGAACAATTTATTAAATGTTATATTTTTATCTATACAAACCTTCATCATTGGAATAACAATTGTGGCAGTGAAGTTTATGATTACGAACGCGAACATCAGTTCCACATGTACCATTACCTGGACAGAAGTAAAAATAAAGCAATAATTAACAGTTAGTCTAATTAATGGTATGAAAATGATATTTAATTTACTCTAATTGTAATTTAAACAATCAAATTAAAGGAAGAAAAAGTTGAACATTAAACTTGACCAAGTTTTAAAGGAAACAAGGATAACGAAGAGTTGATGAAGTTGGCAATTTAGTTAAGACTTGTTTCAATATTGAATTTTTCACAGAAACATTTCAATGTTCTAGATAAATCAGAATCATAGGATTGAGACGGCAATAAGGATACTTTAAGATGACCTAAAAAATGGTGAAACTCATCATGATAGGACAATAGGATTTAACTGTAAACCGAGATGACATGATGAGCATATAATGAAAGTTAATCAAATAAAAAAGTTAATGGTAGGTTTCAATATATTTAAAGAACCATGATTGATATCAATTTTGAACAATTTTCAAAAATGAGATAATCCAATACTACCTTTGACCTGGATTTAAGGTAAAGATGAATATCTATTCAAGTGTTTTTCTTGTATCATTGTCTTGTTTGATAGAGATCATTTGTTGGTTCAACTCATCATGAATTTTCATTCATTATTATTGGTAAAAAAATAACAATAATTGTGAGTTGCTACTGAAGATTCAGTGATGTAATTTTGATGTAATCAAACCATCAAAATGATAGTATAACATAATAATAAAAGAGTATTAGGTAAAGAAAAAAAAAAGTTTTTATAATAGATCACATTAAATATAATTATAGACAGTAAATAGCCAATCCTTTAGCAGTAAATTGTTTGAGAAGCTTTTCTTTCTTCCAAAATTTCGTTCTTTACTATTTTTTCAAGATGAAAATGAAAGATGTAAATAAAAGATCTGATCACTGCAATCATCACAATAAGATTACAATTCAAGCATTTTGGCTAGAGTTGTAAAATCAATAAGAAGCAAACGAAAGTTTCAATTTAAATTGAAAAAAAGAGTTGATTAATAAAGATGGATATTGAATTCATCGTCAATTCAGCAATTGATATTTACCGTATGTAAATTTAAATTGAATTAAATTAAATTGTTTCAAGATGTTTTGTGATTATTGAACGTATGGAAACGTGAAAATACAAAATTGAAATATTAATTTCTCATTGATATTTCATTGATATTTTATCAGACAAATGTTTGAAATTTGATTATTGTCGGGTGAATTTGAAATCAAGATCAGTTTCTCATGTAGCAAAGGTGTCAATTGTTCAGTGTCATTGTAAGAAAAAGATTTTTTGGTGAAAATTTAACCAAGTACAATTTATTCATCTTGAATTTACGATTGAATAAATCAATTGAGATCTCAATATTGTGTACTTCAAAAATAGTAAAATTTAAGTTTTCAGTGAGCATTAAAACTAATGTAAATCGTATTGGATACATTGACAGAATTGGAACAGATATAATCAGTCAAGAGTAAAATTCCAAATGAGTAAATCATGAAAAAGAAAATATTCTGAGCAAAAAAAAAGATTCTCGTTCAGACGATCCAGAATGATAATGATTCTTGAAATGAGTAAGTAAGTAAGCAATCGTCAAAAAAACGAGACAATGAGTTTTATGCATTTATGCAAAGTAGTCATCAAAAAAAGGGAATGAATGAATTGAGAAGCAAAAAAATCGTTAGCTTAGGCATTGAGTAAGAAAAGGATGAAATCATAACCAAGTAAAGCTTTTAATGAGTTTCAAAGGGCCTCAGTAGTTACTGGTTTACAACTGACCTTCACTGACAGAACCAGGTCAACAAATTTAGCAAAAAAGCGTCCGATTTTTTTTCAATTTTTAATGATCGTTGCTTTGTGTTTTCCTTTTGATATTGACTGATGGAGTAAAACAAAAAGCAAAGGATAAAGGACGCTTTATTTGTCTGAAAATTTGATTCAGCTGGTCGTTGGTCAATCGAGAAGATGAAAAGTACGTGAATTAGCACGTTTCAATAACTGAAGGATCATGTTTGACTTGGAGTTAATTAAAAAAAGCATTTAAATTGGCGTGAGAAACAAATTTTGATATTTTAATGGTGAGAAAAATGGTGATTCCAGAGAGATAGTTAATGATGAGGTTGATGATGATAATCCTGATGTGAAAAATAGTGAAAATGAAAAGAGGAGAAAAAGGAACAAATTGAATTTAATTTCAAATTCAACCTTGATCCAGATACCAACGATTAGTAAATTATCAACAATCAACGACAAAGCAACATTAAAAGGTAACATTCAAGTTGATTTTGTGCTCACTTTATCAACAAGAAATTAATTCAACCACTAAACTTGATTCATCAACCCTATTATTACCATTAGCATTGCCATTATTGCCATTTATTATCAAACCCTTAATAAAATATTACCTTTCATGTAGTGTTAATCATCTTTTAATGTGTATATTGCTTCCGGTAACCCTGAAATTTGTCAATTTCATTTTTGAATAAATGAATAAACTGAATCA